TCAAGTCCTAAAAATTTATTTCAAAATCCATACATATAGAAAAATAAATCAAAACCGTCAGTAAATATAATTTTAAATTAATTGGATGAGAATTAAAAAAAAAAAAGAAGACAAATTAAATTAGTAAATTTTAAATAATTAAAATAATTAAAAAAATAAAAAATAGGACCAAATCATAATATAATTAAAGTTTGAAATTGAAAAAGAAAAGAGAATTAAAAAAGAAGAAGACAAATTAAAGTAGTAAATTTTAAATAATAAAAATAATTAACAAATTAAAGTTTGAAATTGAAAAAAAAAGAGTTTAAAAAAAACACAAATTAAAGTAGTTAATTTTAAATAATTAAAAAAACTAAAACAAAATAGGATTAAATTACAATACAATTAAAGTTTGAAATTGATAAAAAAAATATAAAAAAATTGAGGACCAAAGTGTTACAAAAGTGATATGAATAGTGATTTGTAAGTGTGAATAATGTTTCAAATAATGACATAAATAGTAACACATGGTTTTATTTTAGTTTTTTTAGTAATTTTGAATATTTTTAAATAGATGTATTTTTCCACTCATTAAGTATTACTGAAAAGTAAAATGATATGCATTCATCCTTGTATTGTTTTATCTTTGTGTCTAAATTTTGCAAAAATAAGACACTAGGATCATTTTTTCTTTTTCGTTACATTATACATATTTTAGATTTTTAATAACAATATTTTTTTTTAACAAAAATCATGATAATTTAAAGTTAAGACAAAATAACATATCTAAAAATAAATTGATGGGAAATAAAAATTTATGTAACATTTTATAATGTGCACAAAATTAACAAATTTAACAAAGAAAAAAAATACATATTCATAAAAAGCAATTTTCAAAAAAAGATAAAGAAAACAAACTGGGCTAGAGTTGAGCCCAGGCACGTCTGGGCTATGCTCCAGACCCAGATAATTAATAGACACGGACGCGTTGTTTAACATCATCTTTAATCTTGGTTTGCTGGTTTCCGACGAAGCCGAACGAGGTGATTGAAAGTCCTTCTTTTCACATTATTTTTCATTAAAAAAAAAAATATTTCCAAACACTTTCATTGTCCGTATGAACGCAAATCTAACATTAAAAACTATTTTTAAACAAAAAATTAACATAAAACCTGATTTGCAAGTTTTTAAATTTAAAAATTAAAATCCAAATATATTTCAATTCTAGCAAAAAAAAAAAAAGTTAAAATTTTGATGTCCATGGACTAGTGATGATAAGAGCTTTTGCTTTATGACATTATTCGATAGCAATAATGGCATGATTAAATCGCCAAAAACATTATCTTTTATTTTCTTATTTTTTTGTGATTTTTGCTTTTGTATTTTTGACATTTTTTGTATAGAAAAAACCAATGGTAAAAAATAATTAATCTATAATTAATGGTTAAAATTAACAAGTATAGGACATGTTTTGAAATTTTAAAAGTTTGCAACGGTAGATTATAGATTATAATAAAATTTTGTAATATTGTTTTGTCTCTCTTTTTTTATTCGTGTAACATAGGCAGGAAGATGTTTTTTATCTCCGTCTCTACAAAATAAACAAGTAAACATGATCTTTTTATTCTGTAGTTGTTCCTTACCTTCTGCATGACATTTCAAATCCAACCAAACTTCAGGAGAAAGGTACGGTGTAAAAAAATGCATAAACCAGTGGTAAAACTTTAAACAACTTGCCTTCATTTCCAAACTAGCTTCCTTGGTGAAAGGTACAAACCAGAATTCATGCTTTACACGCCATGAAATGGGTCTATAACTTATGCCTTTAATACACCTGGAGCCATCGCAGTCAAATATCGCCGTCCTCTCTGGAAAACTTGTGCCTTACCACGTATTTAATTCTTTAGTATCAAAACTCCGTTCGATTTTTTAATTATCATATGCTGTCACTGCTAACTCAACTCACGACATTGAACACGTCAAAGTAAGAGTGCGAATACTTTTTGGGTGCTAAATTAGATGGACTCTAAAAAATATCATAGTAAATCATAAATAAGTCCCTTTAGTTTTGAAAAACAAATTAATCAGTATTTTTTTCATCAATCTTTTCACAATATCTATTTATTTTTTTCATTTTTTGAATAAAAAATTAAAAACAGATAGAAAATAAACAAAAATGATTAAATAGTTATTTTTTAAATAGGAGGGACTAATTAATTTGTTTATCAAAACTAGAAGAATTAATTTGTAATTTACCCACATAGGAGGGACTAATTAATTTGTTTATCAAAACTAGAAGAATTAATTTGTAATTTACCCACAAGACAATATAGCAAACTACTTTTTTACTCTTTTATTGAGAAGTTCATGATGACACCTCAAAATTTAAGGTCATACATCGATCAAATGAGATGTCTTTTTATGAAAAAAACGAGTAAGATATAAGTAGAACGAGTGCGTTTTGGTTTTATAGCCAACCAAGTTTCGACAAAGCCTTGGAACTTTAATAGAACGATGCGTTTGGTCTTGTCACTAACCGAGGTTTTAACGAGCCTTAAGTCTTTAATGAAACAATGTGTTTGGTCCAACATTCAACTAGTTTCAACGAAGGCAATATGTACGAAGAAAACAAAAGAACGATTACTAATAACCGTTCACGTTTGAATTTAAATAAAAAGTAATTGTAAGTAAAAAGCTATTTAAGGGGAAATGACCAATAAAATTGCACAAGATCAACACACACAAGACCTTTCATACGAGTTTATTTAAATCCTTTAAGTGTTGTTTGGTAATCGGGAATAAAGCGATGAGAATGAGAATGTATGAATGATGGTTGTGGTGGTGGTGGTGGTAATGGCAATAGTAGTGGTGGTGATTATGGTTGTGATGAAGATAATGGTGGTGGTGACGAAGATGGTGATGGTGGTGGTGGTAGTTGTAGTTGTTGTCATGGTGGTGGTGGTGATAGTTGTAGTAGTGGAGAGAGTGACAAAAGTAGTTAATAGATAATAAATAAATAAAATATATTATTATTTTGAAAAAAAAATTCATTCCCGTTCCTTGTTTTTTATTTCCACATTTTATGTGAGAATGAAGTTGTGTGTAAATTTTTATTCCCATTCTCATTTTTCATTCTCATTCCCATTTCATTCCTTTTAACCAAACAGCTAGAATGTGGGAATAAAACTTTTATTCTCATTCCCACTATTCTATTTCGATTACCAAACAACACCTTAGTTTATATTATAACAATTACTTCCTATTTTCTTGCAAATAGTGCATTAGTCTTTTATTGTTTTTAGTAAATTTATCCTTATAGCTTAGAAAGCGTTGATATGTCGAATGACATCGAACATCTCGATAGCCAACAATAGAAGTGTAATATCTTTCGATTCATGATATTTACATTTTTAATGAATTTTGTCTCTTCGATTGATAAAGTTCTATTTATTTTATTATCTACTCGTAAATTAAGTACTCACGAAAAGTCCTAGCGATTTGCTAGACGAAACCGAGCTCTATAACGTTTCATCACGAAAGACTTAATTACAAATTAAAGCGTCGATATACTCCGTTTCAAGATTAAATTTGATGAGCAATAACAATTCCATTTTGGTGTTTATGGTTTAAAGTTTCTCAATCTTGAGACCTTATTTTCTAAAGTTTGCATACAGTCGTGGGTCGTTAAATGTCTCATGTAAAACTTGAATAAAAAGGACTTCGCTGCATATTTAGCAAACACATGTTATTAGAAGTTCTAAGAAAGGTTCTTCATGCTTTTCTCTGTAAATGTCTCTTAATTTATTCGCTTTCATTTTTATCAGAGGCAATTCTCAATTCTTTGTACTCATCATTATCAATCTACGTTCAGAATAAAAAAGCCATATTGGTTATTTAAAAATCTGATTGACTTAAATAGATTGATGTCTTGTACAATCTAACTAGGAACTTAGATCGAGTTATATATCAAATTACGGAGTTTTCAAGACTAGGCTGGATTTAACAATTAACTTTTTGATCATTGATGTTTTTATTTTGATCTAATCTTTCCTTGTAAAATCCCATTTGTTTGACCTCCAATAGAAATACTTAAAAAAATTGAATATTATTTAAAAAATCTCCAAAACAAGCCTACTATTAGTTTTCACTATTGTCAAGGGTCAAATTAACAGATTTTTGCAACACATAAAGGATGATATTGGAAATTATAAACTACAGGAACCGAAATGGAAGATTGCTAAATCCACTGGAGTGAAATACAGTTTTAACAAAAAAAAAATAAAAATGAAGACTCAAATCTGAAGAAGGCGAAGCCAAACCAAGTTGACAAGTGGTGAAAGGTGTCTGGTTCAAAATGACGATGACCTTTCAAGAATCCAAATTTTGGGGATGGTGGGTTGCGTTCAAAGGCACATAAAGTGTGGCATCTGATGTGAGCACAGAATACTAAAAAAGAAGCACGCAAAACGGACCCATTTCACGCTCTTCCACACACCGAATCAGCAGCCGGGACTCGGGAGCCCAATAAACTCACACACAGTATGTCCATTTTGTATACCCCTAACGCAATTGCCAACGCTCGTGCTTTTTTAAACAACAGCAGCAATAACAATTTCTCATTTGCCATTGCCTTCGCCATTTCAAGGCCTCCTCGTAACTTAACACCACCACTACATCTGCAACATCAACCACCTCCTAATCGTTCTTCTTTACCACGTTGTTTCTCTTCTCTGCTAGGTAGAAATCAACCTCCAAAAACCTAGTTCTTATTACCCCCCTTCCCCCTCTTCTTTCGATTGTTACCACTTTTGCCGTTGGATTGCTCAGTTTTTATTTATTTTTTTCCTTCTATATAAAAATTAAATTAAGCAACTGTTTTTGAAATGGATATTCCGTTTATCTAGATTGATTGTTTTTTATTTTTTTCCTTCTAATGGACAGTGATTCCATTTTTTATTTAATCCCATTTGCCTTGCTTTATTTATTTATTTATTTATTTTAGTACTTGAATGCTTGCAGAAATGGATGCCACGGTTGGTCAAAGCTTGTACCCACTGCACCGTACTAAAACAATTCACCTGGTTTGTTTTTGCGAATCTTGATGACCACTTTACATATCTTTTCTGTTTAGAAATCTGCACATTTTGGAACCATTTTCTTTTTTGGTTTTTTCTTAGAAAATAATTAAATTTAATGGGTTGCATATAGGTGAGGCACGCACAAGGGATTCACAATGTAGACGGAGATAAAGACTATAATGCTTATATGTCTGAAGAACTCTTTGACGCACACCTTACCCCTCTAGGTTGGCAGCAGGTAATTGCCAATTCAGTATGCCCTGATTTGTCTTTTATATATGCTTTTGTTTTTAAGCATAAAAAATAAACATACAATTGCCTGATTCTGTGAAGCTATTTGCAGGTTGATAATCTGCGCAAGCACGTTCATAAATGTGGGATCAATAAGAAGATTGAATTGGTCATCGTTTCCCCTTTGTTAAGGCATAAAAATTTCTGCTAAACACCCTTTGTTATTGACGTTAATACATCTCTTTCCTTCGTGTTATTATTAGTACTACATGCAAGCTGGAAAGATGAGTGAATGAAAACATTTATAGTGCATGGCAATATTCAATACAATTGGTTTTATGTAAAGGTATTTGAGTTAGCTCTGCGTAGTTTGCGATAAAAGGGGATTTAGCATTTCCTTTCTCCGACAGGAATAAATGAAAACACCATAATTTATGATAATGTAGAGGCCACTGTGTTGCTGAATAAGGAATATCATGTTTTTTGAAGCAATTATGTTGCATTCAATGAGGAAAATTAGGACATGTTTCAGTTCCCCAAAATCTTCATTATAGGTTATGACACTGGATAGTTGTACTACATGCAAGCTGGAAAGATGAGTGAATGAAAACATTTATAGTGCATGGCAATATTCAATACAATTGGTTTTATGTAAAGGTATTTGAGTTAGCTCTGCGTAGTTTGCGATAAAAGGGGATTTAGCATTTCCTTTCTCCGACAGGAATAAATGAAAACACCATAATTTATGATAATGTAGAGGCCACTGTGTTGCTGGATAAGGAATATCATGTTTTTGAAGCAATTATGTTGCATTCAATGAGGAATATTAGGACATGTTTCAGTTCTCCAAAATCTTCATTATAGGTTATGACACTGGATAGTTGTACTGCAGGACGATGCAAACAGCAGTAGGAGTATTTGGCGGGGAAGGGTATATGGATGGTATAAATGCTACTCCGTTGATGGTGGAAAATGCAGGGAAAAGTAACCGTTCTGCGATTTCAAGTTTACACTGCCCTCCATTTACAGCTGTTGAGCTTTGTCGAGAACATTTGGTATGTCTTATAGCATCTGGCATATAATGCTGTGTGGATATAAGATTTTCTTTGAAAAGCTTTTAGTATTGTTCATTAGATAAAGTAAAGAATGTGAATGGGAAGATAAAACCTTGTATTGGTGGAATTTCTCATTGTAAAGAGTCAAGCCATACATTTGGTTTTATAGTTTTTTGGGTGTTTCTTTTAACTTGAATTGTAAGCTGTTTTTACCTTGAAAATTCTGTTGTGTTTCCAACTACAGGGAGTTCATCCATGTGACAGGAGAAGAAACATTAGCGAGTATCGGTCTATTTTTCCAGCAATTGATTTTTCACTGGCAAGTGTTCACTGTTAGTGTTTGCTACGTAGACAAGCAGTTATGAATTTCATTTATATTTTTACCATTGTCCTTGGTTTCCAGCCTCATATTCAACTTAGGCTAATAGGAAATACTTTATTTTGTATAGATTGAAAGTGATGAGGATATTTTGTGGAAGGCTGATATCAGAGAAAAGAACGAAGAAGTTGCAGCCAGGGGACAGAAATTCTTGAATTGGTAAACCTTCTTTATGTTGTTTTCCGTGCATCATGTTCTTTTACCAACATAGGAACTGAAAATTTAAATGTCTAAAATGATTTACATTTAAGAATTTGGATTCACTACATCTGTCTTTTGCTATTACTGTTTATTTTATTTTTATGGGATTCGAAATAATCATGGACTTCAAATATTTGACAAGTGCCTTTCTTTATTACTCTGGAATAATTTCTTTGTTTCGCTTTCTAATAAGTTGCTTATAATTGCAATTGCTGATAAGAAGAATTGATAAGAGTTAATTCCCAAACTTGTTTAACATAATAACTTTTTCATGTGATTATTCTCTTTGTTTCCACATATTTGCTCACTGAAAATACGAAGTAAGATAATAAGCTCAGCATAGGTGAGTAGCTGTTGGCCGATGTAGGTATGGGTTGCTGATAACATTCTTTCTTTATCCAGGTTGTGGACTCGGAAAGAAAAGGAGATTGCAGTTGTTTCACACAGTGGATTCTTATACCATACCTTAAGTGCTTTTGGAAATGATTGTCATCCATATGTCAAAAGTGAAATATGCACACAGTAAGTGTTTGTTCATGTTGGGAAACAATTTTAAGTAGATGCTAAAGAAGGAACCTGACCTGGCACAAGTAAGGTTTCTGTTGTAAAGGTAGACAAGTCAGGTTTTTGTACTGCAGATCTTCTCCTGTCACCTTTCTATCCCTCGTTATAAGAGGGTAGGGAAAGGGGGTTGAAGATTAATTAGACAGCTGTGAAATTTTGGCTGCCAATGCAAAACTTTTGGTAGATTCGTTGAATAGAATTTGCTAATTTCGACATATAGGGCGTGTCTTGCTTGGGCTAATCAGATGAATCTGATATTTGTACATGCAGCTTTGCGAATTGTGAGCTTCGTTCAGTGGTCATTGTTGATAGAGGGTGAGTATATCGTGAAAAGCTGGACTGCTCCTTTTCAGCTGATGTAATAATGCAAAAAAAAAAAAAAAAAAGCTGATTATTTCTTTTGCCCATTGCAGTTTGATAGGATCAGATCCGGCAAGAACTAATTATCCTGGAAAAAATCCTCAAGGGCTTGACCTTCCAAGTGATGTTGCGGAAGAGATGCATCCACTGAAATGAGTGTCTTAAGTAATAGTCTGTTCAGGACAGATGAATCAGTATCGAGGCTGTTGAGTCCATTAAAAGAACTAGGAAGTTCAATTTTTTTTTGAGCTTGCTAGCTCCGATTGGAACATTCCAGATATATTTTTGTGTTCAAGTAAGGTACGATCTGAAGCCTTTTGGATATTTATTGTCGCCAATTAATTATTCTTAAAGTAGCCACGAACTCATTTGGTAATCCCAATGCAGTATAGCTTTGGTGAATGATGGCATGTGAACAAACAATTATTTTTTATGAATGATTTTTAGTTTTTCATGTAGGTTTTCATCATTGCGATGTATCTTTTAATCGTCAATATTTATTCTCTTGATCCTTTCTTTCAAAAAAAATATATATATATTTAGAAAAAAAAAGTTGTATCTTTTTATTGATTTTCACGTCGGTTTTTTCCCCCTTCTCGTTATCCTATAAATATTTTAATAACTAAATCGAATCAATTGTCAAATGAATATATACTAATAGATTTAGAACTAAAATTAAACTTGTTAAATTGGTAATTACCTTTCTTCCTTTATTTATTTATTTATTGTTGGGGTTTTGAGGTCAGTTATTCTGGAGTTGATGGTAGTGTTCGAGAATATCGATGATCTAATTTTTTTAAAAAATGTCATGATTACTTAACAAAGGTTTTTGCTTCAAGTACTTTTGTTAATGTTTGATTAATTAAATAAGTGGCTTTGAGAATGCAATCTTTCCAAAATTTCAAAGATAGGTGAGCTTAAAAAGTCAAAGATCACGAGCGTTTAAAAGATGATGTTTTCGTTCAACAACTCCATTATGAAATTATGTTTGAAAAAACTGCTTTATACAACCACGTAAAGATTTTAGTTGCCTTTGTATTGGATACAGCTCATATATATAGCACAGTTAATCATCGATCCTTCCCATGTATTTTCAATTAGTATCCTTGAGTAGAAAAGGATCCAAAATTTATGATGTTGCAATACATACAATATGTACTTGTAAAGATGTTACTTTTTTTTTTTTATAAATTCCTTGAGTCATATATATATATATATATATATATATATATATATATATATATATTTTCCTAACTTGTTTATCAAGAACTTGTCTTCTGCTTTGGTAATTATAATCTATTAAAGTGATTTAATTAAATATAAATATTTTGATAATAATAGTTAATTTCAATAATTCGAATAAGGCAGATGCAGATGGACAAGGCAAAATCACTAGCGTACCTTGAAAAACATGGATGTTTGCATTTTTTCAGATGGATTTTCTGATACTAACATTCTAAAAAAATTTAATTAATTATCGCCATTTTCTAGCGAAAAGAAACAAACCTGGGATAGTAGAAGTATGGTTAAACGTTTAGGAGTGCGATGGTCACCTCCGATTTTTCTGTCTCTGCCATATTTCTTTTCCTTGCGTTCTAGAAAAGACATTGGAATTCGAGAGAGTTGAATAAACTCATCTCTATATTACCATCCTTCCCAAAGAACATTATAAATATACATATATAGAATCAAACCTCCATTAATGGACTTAGTAAAGGGTGCATATGGCCAGCGGAAAGGAGCACATGACCAGCTGAGAGCAGCACATGCACGTGACCAACTTATAAGAGATTGAAAATGACGGTGTCGCAAATGGGACAACGGAGGGGATGGCATATAGGAATTATGCTGTTAAATACATATAAAGGAAGACGCAAGCATATGCTGAAAGATGTTTTTGAATTTTGATCAATATCTGCCGACTGGGCCACGCCATGTGCAGAACTGAACCAACATAAATGCCGATGGAAATCGATTACGATATATAGCTACAACCTAATAATTGATCTCCCATATTAAGTATGGTACAGAGGAAAAAACAACTTGCGCGTGTCATCTTTCTTTTTCCCCAGAAACCAATTCAGATAATTGAAGGGAGAGTTGGCTTGGCTTTACACGAAGCGATGGGTACAGAAGAGAGAGTATTATGGGCCTTATGATCCAAAGTTAAAAGGGATAATTATGCTGATTTTTACCATTTTTTAATTAAATATATAAATTTAAAATTTTTCATTTGAATACATTAATTTATTATTAAAATTATCAATCAAGTATTTTTTATCTAATTTTTATTATTTGAAGATTTATCTTTTGTATCCGGCTATTGAACTATGATTTTTCTATTTTATACTTGTAAATTACTTTCCTTCTAAATTTTTTTTGTCTTTTTTTATATTGGAACCATTTTAGAAAGAAAGTTCCTTTAGAGAATAAAATTGTAAAATTATAATTTAGAAGTTTGAAAAAATTATAACACTACAAAATAAAAAATAAAAATTAAATAAAAAAAATTGATGGACTGTTTTGAAAAATATAATATATTTTAAAAAATTAAAACTTATATATTTAATTGAAAAAAATGTTAAAATTAGTCTATTTATAGTGCAATTATCTTAAAGTCAAAATAGTCGGGGCATAGAGGGAAATCAATTATTTACATTATCGAGGAAAATATCATGTCAGGCTCGGACGTCCTGCTGTCCTGCGACTTCAGAAAACTCTCACCCAATTAGCCAAGAACAGAACTGTAACCTAACCCGCCCGCTGTTTACCACCAATCCTTTTTTTCCCGTCCAAATTAAGCCAAACCTCCAAGTTCCAGAATTGTGTTTCAAGTTTCAACCTGTCATGGATGCCAATCCAGCTCCATTTCTGTACCCACTAGAGCATTCTAAAATTCTTCACCTGGTAATTTGCACAAGTATTCATCTTTTTCTATCCTTTTGATTTATATTTAAAGATCGTTTTCCTTAATGGTTTGCGTCTATCCAGGTGAGGCATGCGGAAGGAATCCACAACGTAGCAGGAGAGAAAGATCATGATGCCCTGTCAGCTCCTGAATATTTTGATGCACATCTCTCTCCTTCGGGATGGCAACAGGTATGTAATTGATGGCCATTTCATTAAATGTTGTAAGTAAATATCTGTTATGTTTTTCATTTCGTTTCGAGCTTCTATTCGAAGAAATCAATATCTGAATTCCGCCATGACACTGACAGCCAGTCGAATTCTTCTAACTTTATCAGACGACATATCTGACTTTCTGGTATTGTAACAGACGGGCAATCTAAGGAAGCACGTTCATGCATCTGCACTGCTTAAGAGGATTGATTTAGTCATCACTTCTCCTTTGTCAAGGTGCTTAATTATACAGCTTGAATTTCGTCAGTTCCTTTTGCAGAATGTTCAATTAATTGTTTAGGGATTATCAATGTGTTTCTTTGCAGGGCCATGCAAACTGCAACAGAAGTCTTTGGTAGCGAAGGCCATATAAATGGATCAAAGGAGGCAAATCTGGACGATAATGGGATATCTAGTCTCAATTTCCCACCAATTGTAGCAGTTGAACTTTGTCGAGAACGTTTGGTATATGTGTGTGTGTGTATGCGTGGACGGGCGCCTCAATGTGTAGATTAAAATTGCTGGCATTTCAAATATTTGTAGCACATAAAAGAGGTTTTGTTTCTCTCTTTTTCCTTGTAACTATTCTTTTTCACTGCAGGGAGTTCATCCATGTGACAAGAGGAGAACCATTAGCGAGAATCGGTCTCGATTTCCCACAATTGATTTTTCATTGGCAAGTACTTAAACTTGTCTAGCATTTACACAAGGATCGTTAGATCAATCGGCATCTTTAGAATTGATTTTTGTTAAAGTAGTTAACCTGTTCTTTTTAGATTGAAAGTGATGAAGACATTTTGTGGACTGCTGATGCTAGGGAGACCGATGAAGAAATTGCAGCCAGGGGCTTGAAGTTTATGAGCTGGTAAGTGATTGCATTTTTTAACTTTTGATGAGCAAAGCCTTGAGGTGTCAGTTCAAATATATATATAAAACGAATTCATACAAGCACAAATTCAGACAGTGATGCCATTGATAAAATAGTATTATAAAAAGAGCATTTTTAGATTTTGCCGTTGGCGTATATATGGTATTATATAAGGACTGACGGGCAATTTGTCTCTTGTTCAGGTTGTGGACACGACCAGAGAAAGAAATTGCAGTAGTTACTCACCATAGATTCTTGCAGCATACGTTGAATGCTTTAGGAAATGATTGTCATCCGTCAGTGAAAAACAAGATACGCGAAAAGTGAGTAGCAACTATCAATCAGTCTGCTTCTTCAAAAACTAAGCTTTTTTTTTTTCCGGAACCATGTAAAGTCTTGTTTTAAATGTTTGTTTTTGACGACTTATTGATGAAAGGGTTCTTGTAACATGTTTGTTTAGGTTCGAGAACTGTGAACTTCGTTCAATAGTCATTATCGATAAAGAAAAGGTAAGCATGATGTATTTCGAAGAATTAAAATACCTGTTCCTATCCAATCCATTGCTCTTTTTTCTGCAGTATTATTTTAAATGTGTACAATGGTTACGTTACTCAACAGCTATATTATCCTGACAAAATTCATTTTAGGCATGATCTCCCGAGTGCGAGCTGCAAAAAAGAACCTTTAAGGAGGGGATTATCAACTAGTCAGCCTGTGTGACACGCAAATAATAAACTGTGTATCAGAGAAGCCCCTCATTGGTCTCTGTGTATGAAGCGCTTGATTGATGGAACTAAAAGAATATGTGTTTGCGACTGTTGATATACTCGAAAAAAAAAGTTTACTCCCTTATGTATTATCTAGGTATGCATGGTGGTTGCGTGGTTAGTTCTATTTATTAAACTTGTGGTGGATCATAGTTACCCTGTTCTCTTATGAAAGGTGGGGTCGATTGCATTGAGCGTCTTTATCCCTTGGCTACCAGTTTGCTTTACTTTTTTATTTGTTGACTCTCATTACGATATTGGGTTGGAGCAGGGTATGTTTTACGAAAATTCCATGCTAGAATTAAGTTGGATTTTCTGCATCACATGAGTTGAATTTTAGTTTCCATTAATTTTTATAAATTCTTATTAATTTTCACTGGTCTTTTAATTTTCCATGCTCGAAAAATAGGAACAAAAATGAAAGCTCAGTATATACGTGTTCCTAAGAAAAGGAATTTGTCTATTTTTTGAAGTCTCAAAGGGCCCTGGAAACACATAAGAACTCTTGAATGAAAATGAAAAAGAGATGTAACTCCAGTTCGTTCGGAAATGGTAAAGTCTTTGACGCAAGAAGAAGGGGCTGATCTGTCTCATCTTAACTTGATTTTGATTTTTCTATTTTTTTAAGAATACCGAATCGGGATTTTTTTCTACCCATGTCAAATAGAACATGCTAAGTTAAATCTTCTTCATGTAAAACTTACTTTATTTAGATCAGAAAAATCATGTGTTTTTTTTTAAAACCATGTGTTATAGTTCGAATCCATAGCCAATCCTATTTTCTGTATATGATATCGAAATATTATATATATATCTTAGAGATTGGAATTTTACACATTGATAGAAAAATTTATTTAAATCTAAATTATACATGTTGATAGAAAATTCATTTGGAGATTTATCATTATAGCAACAATTTATTGATAGACACCCCAAGATCTAGTCCTAAACAAACAATACTAGCACCTAGTACCAAGATCTTTACTAACGGACCTGATTTTAACAGACAGCACATTCACGTTCCTATAACACTTATAGAGGAACAAATATTCAAATTTGAACGAATTTATGGTCAACCTCGCTAGCCCTATCCCATAGGTACAGCTTTTGAATCAACAGCGAACGGTTTACCCCTGTTGCCAAGATAACCATTAATTGTTCGTACCTTAATTTCTGTTGCAGCTGTATACAAACATATCTCAGAAGCAATGAAATATTACAGCCCTTGCACGGCCGCACGCAATCCAATCTGATTTCATACAGTATTTCAAACGAGGAATTGAGAAATTCATAAGCTATTTTCACTTTTTGTTTGCTTCCGTACTTCTGATCCTGGAGTTTCCTCGCCCGAAAAAATAACCTGGTACACGTAGCTCAAATCATTGGACGGTGCTAGATGTAGCTTTTCCATCTGAACAAGATGCTTCCTGTACCAATTTCACTTGACACGTTACAAATTCCCCTAGTGTAGATCTACTTGTTAATAAGACTATTGTTCCCATAGATAACTCTTCTATAGAGTTCATACATCATAGAGTAAACAAACTCAACATAATTTCACACCATTCACATAGGAAATTGTTAATAAACACTATCGATAGCAGCATTGCTGCCAAACACCCTCCTCAGGAAGTAAAATGAAGGAGAATAAAAACAGGTATAATAACTATAGTTCCATGCTTCACTTTCCGCTCGGCTTTTCTTCCAATAAATTGCTGCAGTCCTCAGTGGGGCTTACGAACTTCATTTTTTAAAATGCAAAACCAGAACAAATAATGAAGAAATCAAAAAATTGAGTTTTTGTTATCCTATATGTGATTTATACCTAAAATGCACTCGGACACTATTTTTGCCTGACAAGAACAAATCCAACCAAGATTGCAAGGAGAAGGAAGAAAACAGCAGCCAAGACATTTAAGTTAAATGGCTGATTAGATTGCCGGTCCCTTTCCACATTCATGTCAACTTGTCTACTCTTCTCTAAAGAAGAACCAGATGCAAAATGGCCAGGAACTGCAACATCCCAGAAAGATTTAGCGATCAGCGATGGAGCTTCTACTTCTGGTTGCAGATATGTTGAGGAATCTGTTGGAACTTCCATAGACATCAACTCAATGCAATGTTCTTTTAAAACCTAATAGAGCAAGAATACACTCAAAGGGATTTAATAGATGTAAGCTTTCAGTGTAAGAATGTACAAATGAAGTGTTTGATGTGCCAAAAATAACATTAAATATTTTTCTCAAGAAATTACAAAAACAGACCTCAAGTGTCTCAGATGGTTGCAGGTAGTCACAGATAAATGTACCAGCTAACCAGGGAACAAAGACTCTTCGAGGAAATGAAAGAAAGCATGTTCTCCTGCATTGAAATTGTACAATAGCAAATGCGATGGGTAATGTTTCCCAAAAAAACTACATGAACTTTCAAAGAGATGCTTCAGAGAGAATCTCTATGCTAAGCAAAATATCAGGAGGCATAAAGAAACTACAAAAGAGGAACCTGTCCCCAGCAATAGAAAACCAAGCAACCTGACAGTGCATATGATCCAGATAGGCATTAATGTGAGTCACACATGTGACAGTTGTGGGACAGATGCAGGTCATGCCTTCATGGACGGTTGAGATAGTACTATTACTTACAATGTGACAGAAAGTTTGCATTTCATGCGACACAAATTTCAGATGAAGACAAGTCAAAATGCATAAATGACAGTTAGATGATGTAAGATTACCAATCTAATTTAGAACAAAGACAAGTAAAAAAAAAATTCAGACTAGTGGCAATGGTCTCATCATCTGCTCATAAAGACTTCTAACATTACAGCTCACATACCTCAATGAGCTCAAGACAAGTCTTGAAACAGGTTTTTCAGGAAGTTTTTCTTTGCTCAAATCATTGCCATCATTGTCAATAGGATCCGGATCTTCATCTGCTTCATCACAGATTAAATCAAGTCTGCTTTGAAGACTCCTGATGATATCATCCTGAGAACAATAAAAATAGCCCATAATTTCACAGGTCAAACGCAATAACCATGAAAAGGGACGAGAAAATCTGAAAGATAGCAATAAACATAAAGACTCTTAAGAGAGGGAGGGAGGGAGGGAGGGAGGGAGAGAGAGAGAGAGGCAAAGTCTTAATTTATTATTATTAGTATTATTATTGACAAAATGATAAAGCAGCAGAAAAAAAATATGATTCAAGCATTGGCATTTTGCAGGTACCACAACAAAGATTATGTCCGGCTTTGTAGCATGTGATGTTTTCCTAGGTGGAACTTAGTTGCAACTTGCAACAGCATTAAAAGTCTATCAAATACAAGATGACAAGTTTCAACAAGAAACATGAAACAGTACCTCGCATAAAAAGTGGAGGTATACACAAAATGCCTGATATGCAGTGTTAAGGAACAAATCCCCCTCTCACCATTTTGACTGTACAAGGGAGATACCAATTGCAAAAATGTATATTTATGTTGAACTGAATATGTACACCCTATCATTACAAGTTCCTAAATGCAGTCAACATAGTCAAAACACATGAATCTTACATAAAGAACCAGAATGAACAATCATCATCAATCTGGTATAGACATGCCCTCAAAGAACTCAAACCAAAAGTAATTTTTTCTTAAATAGAACTACCTTTATATCAGAAACAGCCTGCATAACTGGTTCTTTTGAGTTTGAGTAAGCATAAGAGCACACAGATCCACCAAAGACAAGAACACCAACAACGTCCTTCTGGCTGCTTGCTTTAGCAAATTCAAAAGGATTATCAAATGATTGAAACAATAGTTTCAAGCTACCAAACCTACACAAAGTATAATTTTGTCCAATATTTAAAAATTGCACAACACACCTTCAACCAAAGAATTCTTCATGAATGGTAGGAGCAATTCCACTTCATGTGTACCATCAGCTGTGCATAGCTCTTCGCCACCTACCTAAAAACCATAAAATCATAGGAAGCTATACAAGAAGAATGCACCATTGAAACAAATGTTTAAGAATTATAATGCTCCTAAAGTGAAGCATAGTCCATAAGATTGTCTATTCCAGGCCAACAAAGCAACAGTTAGCTTTAACTCAAAATGGTGATGATGATGACGGTGATTAAGCACACTATTGGATCCATTAATGACTACATTTTTATGAAGCATGAGTTTCATGAGAATCAGGTGTATGTCTCAAAGCATCATCATGTAGATGCAGGTGTAGGTATTTATCAAATAACTTCTGTATCTTAATAATCAAACCATCTTGTTAACAGAATCACTTTCCATCCAATATCCTCAACCATCATCATGACACTTTTCAGCAAAACTTATACTCTATGTTTCGCATTAAATGAATGAAGCTATGATAAGAAACTGCAAGCCCTTGATATGCTTCACGAATGTATGCCTTCAAGGCCTGCAGTTTCATTCCAAAAGGGATAAGGTCGCAGTGCAGCTTACCAAATTTCCATCAATCATAGCCTTTGCATCCCTCAGCTCTTTAGCATGTAGAGAAATTCCATGACGGAGAATTGAACTCAATGTTTGGGCATTTGATGCACTCTCATGACATATAGGCAATCTGGGAAATATAGCTTCATTCATAAGTAACAACAATCACAAAACATCCATATTGCAGCACCAACTAAAATTGTTGTTTGGATGTACAAACCGAACACACATTCGAAACCCATTAAAGATACCTGAGTTCAAAGTTGTATGTGCACCTAAACATCTGAAGGGAACTTAAGACCCTTCCCATTTTAAAATCACAAGGCCGCATACTACTTGATGTGATATTCGAAGACAGCACACAATTTCGGCAAGTCCACCTACAAAACAACTCATTACTCCATATAAACGACAAAAACAACACCTATATCAAAATGACTTATAATTACTATAAATGATAATTTCAAATAATGGGTGAGAATTAATTACCTCCTTGGACTACAGCATATATGAATAAGCAATCTCTCATCCCAATCAGTTTGGGTAATAGGTGCAGCTTCTGCAACTCCCTTGACTGTCTGTAAAAGCTATACCATCAACAATAACCTATCAGCTAAAATTTTACAGAAATAAATAAAATTAAAACAAACTAAGTAAGCAATAGACTGAAATTATAAGGGACAAAAACTACCTGGCAAAGAGTAATAGTTGAATTCTTGAAAGCATTATCACTAACCCAAACATAAACACCAATAACCTTCATGCCACCCACTAACATTCTCGAAACCTTAGATATAAACACCAACATTTATTTTCACCGAATTGAACCCAGAATAACAAACCGCATGAGATTAAATAAAAATAGTAAAATTAAAAAAGTAGAACGCACCTGACGGGAATGTTCAGCGACCCAATCGGAGTCGATGGCCAAGGTAGAAGAATCAAGGGCGGGTTGTGATTTAGATTTGGAACCCTTTTTCTTGTTGTCATCTTTGGTGGTTTCGAGGAGTGAACAGGCTGATTCTCCTGCATCATTTGGTGGGGTGGGGACCAAATCGAAAATGAAGCCACGGTCTAACTTGGAGCTGAGTTTGCCTATCACCAAACCCACCTAACAAACAAACCAAAAAAAAAAAAAATCAAGATTTGGAGTATGTCGTCGTCGTTATCGCTGTTTTGCATGAATGGATATGAAGATTTAGAGGGAGAAACCTGAGAGGTGAGACCGGATTGGCTGAGACGATCCTCTGCTAAACTTAGTTGGGTTTCATCTCCGATTACTGCTTTCACCATTGCTATTCTTTCACACAAATCCGCAGACCCAAATTTCTTTCTTCCAAAATTGAAAGCGTCCCTTGATTTTCCTCTTACATTTCCCTCCTCCTTTTTTGGTACTTACGAGTCGTGGACTTCAACGACTTTTGAGTAATGACTGAAATAAATTTTACCGTTTTAGGCCACCTTTATCAAATTTTACCAACTTAATTTTATTTTGGATCAATAATTGAACAATTCCCTTTGTTTTTTTGTTTTTTTTTCCCTATTTTTACCGTATCTTTTTATCTTTTTTTCATCTTAAATTTGTTTATTTATATTTGGTTTTTATCTTAAATTTGTCTATCCGTTAACTTTTTTATACTGATAGTGTTAGATTACATTGTCAGTCTTGTAGGATTGCCATACATGTCAACTTTTTTTTTTTTCATATTAATCTAGTTTCTCTAGTATTGTTTTAGTAATAAAAAAATAAAAATAAATTTTTTATCCAAAATTTCTTTCAAGAATTTAAATTTATCTCTATGATAGTAAATTTTAAGTATAAAATAAAATATTCATAATATTTTTTAAATATAAAAAATATTAAAATTTTGAATGATATTTATAATTTTATAATACATTAAAAAAGCCTATTATAATTTACTTATAATTTTATAAATTTCTTAATTTAATTTAAAAGTGAAAATATAAATTCTATTAAAGGTTTTTTTTTTTTTTGAGAATATTCACTCAAAAGTGGTTATTATATCCAAAATACATGGCTAATAAAACTTGATATGATTCTTCCCCGTTTCATACTTTCATGATGGTGAACTTAGGTTTTTATATTTGTTGTTTGCTTTTATGCACAAAGGCAAACATAAGAATGTTTCTACATAAACAAATCTGGGAACCAATTCTTCTCCACTGAAAAGGAGCCAGGACTGAGCGGTTCAAGATAATGAAAATGTGTCAATGCATGCAAGTAGGAAATAGGATTAAAAGAATAATCCTATCAAGTCAAAGATATTCCAAGCGTGTGTAGGTTTCCTCATGATATCCAAGAGTCAGCAAAAATAAATAACCACATGTGTGATTTCTATAAACAGAGATATAATCCAACAGCAAGGAAAATCTTAAATCTGTACCCAAATTCTCACAAAAATATATTCTTCATTTGGCGCTTATGGCATCCTAATTGAAGCTCGATTTGTGGTTGTCCCTCTGTATTTTATTAGTCGCGATGGCTGGGTTTCTTCCTCTCAGGCTTTTTAGCAGATTGAAAACGTTAACTGGCCCAGTACAGATTTATGCCAGACCAAACCAGACCAGGCCCATGGGTTTGGTTGGCAAATAACAGAACTGAATTGCACAACTTGATGGTAATTGGTCAATTAGGACTTGGCGAATGAGAATAAATTATAAAATCAAAAGGACATGTAATTTGCAAAGCCAAATTAGTCATTGTCAGTGGGGCTAAAAGTAACAATCAATGGGCTGAATTTAATACGGTATATGTTGCTCGTGGCACTAGCACCTATCCAACATGACCATATATGAATCTTTGGTCATAATTTTATCCCCTCCCCATGGCTGAATTGTAATCATGTTTTGATGTCTCCACAGCTTTACTGTACTTGATGATTGGAATGCTCTCAAAAGTGGAAGAAAAGGGTTCCATGACCAGACACGGTAATAGTTTATTGAGGTTACTTACTTTAGACATGGGAGGGGCCATCTGCCCCCACTACCTAGCTCTACTTACAAAAAGAACTTTCTATTTTCAAATTCTATGCGTGTTTTTATTATTTTTATTTTTCAAAAAATCTTTCAAGAGTTTGGTATGATGGTGATTTAAACTACAGTTCATTACTATTTACTACACAGCACCAAATCTTGTTCTGTATGGTTTTTTTTTTTCATTTCAGATAAAAAATTTAAATACCCTCATTTATGGTATACACCTTCCTTATTTGATTCTCTTTTATTTTTAAAAAATTATTTATTTACAAATCTAGTATTCTAGCAGTAGATGCTACCGTGTCTGTTTGTTGCTAGGGTTTCAATGACAATATATATATATATATATATATATATATATATATATATATATATATATATATATACACACCGTGATATATATTTTTTAATTTTAATTTTATATTCATTTGAATCCCTCATATGGATTTTTTTTTTCAATTAGCTGAGAGTTATTGTTAATAAAAATGAACGAATATAGATTATTATTTTTTTTAAGTCAACGCTAAATTTATTAAGCATAAAGATAGAATCATGTTTAAACGGAAACAAATATTTGTAAAGGCAAAGAAAATTACGTAATGATAGCATATGACATAAAATAAAAACAATCCAAAAAAATATATACAACATAGAAAAAATCTCATTCGTGGCAAAATTTGGAGAGTGTAGCACTGGTCTTCAGTACTATGGCAGTACTTCCGAAACGATTCCTCAGAGTATAATGTCCGTGGTAAATGACGATTGTTGCGTAAGATATCGTTTCCAGTGCGAGTAAAATCAGACAGCTGTATGATTCGTTATTAAGTTTGCAAAATGATTCAGGGGTGTTTTCGAGCTTACCTATTTAGACCCCCCGTTACTTCAACATTCTATTGGTTGCATGCCTAATTAATATATCATATCAAAGTTGATATGATTTTTAATTTTTATTTTCATATATTGTTTTATTTCTCTAAGTTACTTAAATTATGTTAATATTAACGTGAAAGTCAATTAATGTGCGTTATTTATTTTAAATGGATGGAGCATGAAATAATAGGGTACCTTTGTAGTGCTGGAATGCTTTGCGTCCGGGGTATTAAAACTTTTTATAAAACTAATATCACTAAATAGAGTGCTACTTGTGATATGGGTTTTTTTTTTTTTTCAAATAATAGGTTGTGAATTTTATCATTTTTAGTGACATAATCCTAGTTATTGAATGAAACAATCAACAATAACCAATCATAAACTGCCATATAAAAAATTAAAATAAAAAGCATCTCTCTGTTACTTGTCTTTGGAACTATTCGATATATACAAAAAAATGTATTTTTCTTTCTTATACAAAGATAAGATCTATGAACTATTTTCATGATTTGTCCCATATTTTTTTTAAACGACGGAGTACAACTCCTAACTTATTCATCCAGTTACGAGAAATAACACTAGTTTTTTTTAAAAAAATAAAGTCGCATATCCTATGTATTTTATTTTTAAAGTCTTTATAATTTATTATTGTTATTATTTTTACATTTCAATCAGGAATATTCTAATAAAAAATTTGTTCATGATCAGAAAAATTAATTACAATGATAAATTAGAAACTTAAATTTTATTTATAGATATAACAAATGTAATTAAAAATATAAAAACTTGTTAAAAACTTGAACTATTACATAAAAACATATCGAGCTATTTATCCTTAATTGTTTTTGAGCTAAAACCCCAAGCCATTGGATTAACAAGTTTATTATTATATATCACATTTTGATCACAATCCGATAACACACCATCTTCTTAATATTTTACTTATATATTTTTTTCTTCTTCTTATTTTGCATTTTTGAATTATAATACGTCAAAGTTATACCAACACAAGCTATGCGAACCAAACATAGTAAAAAAAAAAAAAAAAGAAGGTAATTTAAATTAAAAAACAAAGAATCACCGTCGCAATAATTTTACCTCATATAACACATAATTATTTATAGCATATAATAAAGAATGTATCTTTATCATATCAAAAAATCATTTGATATGTTACGAGTTATATTTTATTTTTTTTATAAAAACATATAATTTATTATAAAAATAATTTATAAATCCTATTTTTTTATAAATAAAAAAAATATAATTTTTGGTATATTGAATAATGGTTGAATGATCCAAAATGTTCATCAACTGTTTTATATGTCTTAATTGTATTCCTCCATTAATTTTCTCATTAATCTCATCCTCCTATTTTTATTTACGTTTTAATTTTGTCTCTTCATCCAAATTTTTAGATAATAACATCAATTTTCAAAGACAGACGAACAAGATGCTGAAAAGTGATTTCTTTTTTAATAATTTATGAAAAAATTAAAAATCACAAAATGCTTTTCTTCTTTTTTTTTCCGCCTCTATGTATAAAAATAAATAATTAATTTCATCCCTAAAATTTTTTTGCTCTCTCGAATCCAAACAAAAAAAAGATTTTTTTTTTTTAATGTATAGTAGGGAACAATTCTAATTTTTTTCCAAAAATTTATTTCAAAACCAAATCCAAAGAAATTTTTTTATGAAACTTTTTTCATACATAGGAACAGAAGCATAAGTAGAGAAAAAAATGAATATTTTAGAATTTTTTATTTTTTTAGAAATTTTATTTTTTTCAAAAAAATTATCATATGTATTAACATATACATCTGTCATCGAAAATTGACATCATTATTTAAAAATTTAGAACAATAAACACATGATTAAAATATATAATTAAAATAAATGAAACAATAGAAGAACATCATTGCATATTAACCCATTGAATAATTCCTCTTACTCTGCCATATGTATATATATATAAAAAAAAAGTAAAACGAATTATATTATTTTCGGTCACAAAAACATGAGACGTATTATTAAAATAATTTATAGGTCGTGTTGAATAATTTCTCCTCATATAAACTGGACCCCACACCGCAGCAGAAGAAAGAGTTTCATATACTCTATCCCCGCCGTTTTCTTCCCTATTACCCTATTTTTATTTCTCCCTCCCTTCCCCGGACGCATTTTCATCAATCTTCAACCCCTCCAAATACTTCAAAACCCCAACCCTACTCGCAATCCTCAGCAATGGAGACCTTCTCTCACTCTTCTTACCCAGATTCCGGCGATTCGTCGCCGCACTCCCGCGAAATCGACGACACTCAGACATCAGATGACCCGCCGTCAACGTACAAAGTCAAATTAATGTGTAGTTTCGGTGGCAAAATCCAACCAAGACTCCACGATAATCAACTCGCTTACATCGGAGGCGACACGAAAATCCTATCCGTCGATCGCGGCATCAAATTTTATGGGATGATGCATAAACTCACATCACTTTGTGGTGGGGCCACTGATATTTGTGTTAAGTATCAACTTCCAGGTGAAGATCTTGATGCTTTGATTTCCGTTACGAATGAGGAGGATCTTGAGCACATGATGATTGAATACGACCGCTTGCACCGGGCTTCCGGTAAGCCTGCGAGGTTACGGTTATTTCTGTTTAGTTTGAAGAGTTTTGTTTCGAGTGAAGTGAAATCGGACAGGCAGTGGTTTGTGGATGCTTTGAATTCTGTGAACGTGCAGAGTTTAGAATCTTCTTCTCCACCTGCCAAAGCGGCTGTATCAGCGGAGAATCCGGATTTTTTGTTTGGATTGGATAACAATGCTGTTGTTCCCGTAACGAAATTTGTGGATACTCCGCCTTTGCAGCCTACTGTGCTGGAGGCTGTTGTGAAAGATGTTTCTGCTGGGTCGGAATGTGGATCGGAGGATAGGAATTTGACCGGAGATGCCTCTGCGGCGGTTAATCAACAGACTGCAGATCTGCAGAGACTGCAGATTGCTGGTAATAACGAGCAGCGGAAATTTGACGAGGCCAATTCTAGAGGTTTCCTTGGAGAATACTATGCACAGAAACTTCAGGAGAAAATGACACCCGTGCCTACTCCAGTGCCAGTTGGAATGGTAATTCCAGCCGCTTACTTACACGAAGGGCAAGTGAGTTCGACTGGTTATCCCATGGCTAATGTTGGAGCTGAGCAGCCAGTTTATTTAATTCAAGTACCAGCATTGAGACCGGTCAATGGACAAGTCGGTCAGGGTTATTATGGAGTGCATAGAGTTGTGCAGGAGGTGTACAGAGAGCAGCCGGTTTATAGTCCCGTCCAGCAACCAGCAGCTACAGTTGGTTCGGTTCAACAACAGCAGTCGATGAAAGCCGGTGGATTGGTGCAGTCAAAAGTTGGAGTGGCGGAGCAAGGGTATGTGCAGGTTGGTTATGACAGTGCAGGGAGACAGGTGTATTATACAACTCCGTATCAGGCAGTGCCGGTGGCAACCGTTGGGGCTGTAGATGGTAGGCAAGGTGGTGGTGTGGTTAATCAGGATGGTAAGGTTGCTGGTGGCAGTGTCAGGACTCCACAAAATTCATCCGTGTGATTTTGGGGTATAAATGATTTATTGGCTGGATTCATTAGTTTATTATTATTACGACACTGATTAAAGGACATTTTTTTAATATGGTTTATATCGACGTGAATGTTGCAATGCTTTGGAACTGTTTTTGAGAAGTTGGTTTGACATTGTTTAATGTGCAAATGGGGAATTTGCGCGATGATTTTGTGATTTGATTATTGCACTTAACATTCCTCTCCTAGTTTTAAACTAGCGAAGTGGAAAATTGTGTTTTCAAATGTTGTAGATGTATTTTTTTTATCTATTATCATCGTGTCTCGCAGCGTTTATTTATAATTAAATTTGCATTCAGTGGTAGAAATTACCATGTTCATTTTGCACAAAATCTTAGGCACTCGGCAAATAGAAGATTCAGCATTTCTTCCCATAGTTGGAGGAGCAACTTATAGTTTTGGCAGGATTTAGGATCAAATCGGATCATCCCCTCTGATTTGCAAAGAGGGGTACTGCAGGACGAATATCCAGTAAAAATTTAACAGAGCAAAACTTATGTGACAAGGACAAATATAATTATATGACTGCAGTGTGTTATTATATATAGAACACCGGATTTAAGTACACAATTATTCAACCAGTTACTTATCTATATGGTCTAGGTTAATCTTGGTGCTTGGCGTAAAATTATATCATGTATCGAGTGCCCTATTTTGGGTCAGCTAGTAAGTCCTAGGTACAGCCGGCAGCTGCATTTTGGCCAACAATCACTAGGATAATTTATTGATCACCGTGACAACCACCACCGTGACATGAACCACAACCACCATGACATGAGCCACAACCGCCACAGTGAGGGCTCTTTGCTACATCCTCAAGGATTATATGACTGGTAGACTCTGAACCAACAGGGGCAACACAGTTGGAGCATATTGCACTGTTTATTATCGCTTTAGCCCCATTACTATGGCTTTCTTCACCGGTGCCATCCTTGATAATTCCACTGCTTTTTCCAGCCGTCAAGTCAACTTGAGCCACAGCTCCACAATCGCAACATTCATAAGACTCTGCACCAGATATATAGGCCATTTGGAGGGTCGCTTTCGTAGCATCTTTTATCTCCTCAATCTGGTTGGCTGTTTTGTCTTCCTCGTAGCTTTTATTTGCATGTTGCTTTGAATCACTGTCCATTTCTCTTATACCATCTCCATCGGCATGGAATTGGCTATTGCTCTCATTCCTTGAAGTATCAGAAAGTAGAAAAGCCAATAGAATCCCAGGAAGTCCCAGCCAGTCTTCATTCACCTGGCCACAAAACTATTAGAAATAACACAATTCTATTAAAGAAAAGTGATGCTACTGTACCTCGAGAGAGGCAGACTTCAAATCAAACAGCGCCACAGCTTGTCCATGAGGATATTCTGCAGAAAATTTGACAGCTGTCAAGAAATTCTGTTCGCTTTTAAACTTCTCACACTTTATTTCATACTCCAGTTTTCTACCCGGAAAAATGATCACCTGAAGCCACAAAACACTAAAATTTAGTTTGCTGCTTCCAGAGTGAACATGAAAGATGGTCATAGGAATGAAATAAAAAAAAGAAAGAAAAACAATCAAATGTAGGATAGAATTGCCTAAATTTCCATATGATTGTACAAGAGGATTGTGTCAGCAATTGTTTAAGCACCTAATGTCAAGGCATGGGTAGAATAGATCCTCACCTTTTGGCTACCAGTGAGCTCAAAGATCTGACTAGCGTCAGTAATTTTTTGGTAAGGTTGAAACCACCAGTTGGAATTCATCAAAGACCATCCTGTTCCAGCAAACTCTGCGAGAACATGTCTTTCTCCATTCCTTGTCATGCCAATCACTTCCTTTTTGGGAAGACAATTGTTTTTGGCCTCTGCTTTCATTGAAACTCTGACATATAACAAATGTTGGTGAATGCAGAACATGGGTATGGTAAAATATGCACTTAGTTATACGCACCTCATCAGGAGGTTGATGATCTCGTTTCCATCCTCATCCTCAATGCATGTCCAGATTTTACCTTGTTGAAACGTTCCAGGGAGGGGAAAGAAACAAGATGTTGCGCATGCTCGAGTCTGGACCATGTGCAGCAATAATGGTGCCTGTACCGAAGGAGTGAAAGAGAAAGCAATCCGCAGTCTCACTGGCTTGGAACCTACAATTCCAGAATTTGGCAGCAATGCAAACCATTTCTCAATTGACAGAGGAGAACCTGGTTTCATGAGATCATGGAGAGAGATTGATGTTGTCCCCAACATTTTCGCAGGACTTGCAATATGCAAAAGAGAGGGTGGATGGGACATAAGTTTGAAGATGAGCTCCCCTGTGGGTTTACATCGGAAAACAGCAACATCTTTCTCCCCTGTCTCGGAGAAGATACTCATTCTTCTGCCATTGAAATATGAATCTGGCTGTTTCTTACCGAGAATTACAGAAAGGCTTCCGTTATGCCCAGCTGGCAAGTCCCTAACCTCTACAATTTCCACCATAACCTGAATGAATTATCTCATATCAGCAAGTTCTGCTCGGTATATGTATTGGGGCAATAAAGTGAAAGCAAAGTAAAAAAGGATATTTGAGACAACCTCAATCAGTCTTTTATCTGGGAGCTGAATCATACTTTGATATTCATTGGAAGCAGTAACATTCTTGTTTAAAATGTCGAGTTCACTCAAATTGATTTTGAGAGAAGATGGAGCATCGCCTCTATGCATAGCTCCTGCCTTCCAGTATCTTGAACCGAATGTTTCTTCCCATTGCTCGGTGGTCCCAGAAAACCCTGTATCCAGCTTTTTACCTTTGCTCCTATCAGAATCAGTGTCATCATGCTCCAGTACCCTGCCTATTATTGCCACCAGATCTTTACAGTAAGAAACAGGATGCAATTGATGAGAATGCCAGATGAGGTCAACGTCATAAGTTGGAACACTGAAATGCTTAATGGACCTCTCTTGGTTTCTCTTGATCAAATACAGAAATCCCTTATATCTAGCTACGGCTTCTTCAAGGAAGGTGTCATCTTCCATATGGGGACCCGATACCTGTCACATGTTGAAGCCGAAGATGGTTTTTTGAGCTTGATGTCAAATCCAGACCAATACAGAATGACTAAGTTACTTCTCCTTCTATTTTTTTCACATTTCTTTTACTGTTAAATGAAAATCTAGAATTTGAACTATCAAGCAAATCATTAATCTTCTGGAACCTGATCCAAAATCTAGTGAAGAACAGTTTTTGGGTGATAACTTCTATTATGTTATCAAACTGCCATCCAACACTTAGAGAACATGAAAAAATAGATTACTAGTAACAATCCAGTCGTATGTAGATGTTACAAGAATAAATATCTGGCTCCTTTGGAATCCCTTTATTACCTGATAATAGAAAGACCTCTGCCTTTTGACAGCTGAAACTAGATCATAGTTGGTGCTCTTTTGTGCTACCAGAATATGTTCTCCAATACCCTCCACTAACTGGGTGCTTGGATTCAGCTCATATGGTTCGTTAGGATAGATTCTATTCCAGAATTCTTCAGTTTGCTTCTTACACACTGCCTGAGTAGAAGATACAACATTCCTGGTACCGAGAATCCTCCCATAAAGTTCCTTACAGTCATTCCTGTAGCACACCTGACAAACCAAACTCAACTTGATAAAAACCACTGTGTTCTGAGAAAGTATTTGATTCTGTTATCACAAAAAATGCTTTTGCTTTTATAGTCCAGAAGCCTACCGGATTGAGCCTGTGACAATGCCAGATCCATTCACAATCAAGTGTGGCAACCAAAGGGCCCTTTGTAACTGGAGACTTAGCATGCTTAGCTAACAAAGGAAGCCAACAGTATTTGTACCTGACATTGGCGCAGTTAGAAATTTGCAAACTAGAAAAAACGAATTAAAACTACCGAATTTAGGTTGTGGATTTGTACTGGATGCTATAACATTAATCAAACAGAGTCTCGTGAAATTAAGAACTTGAGGAGCGAATGTGGCGTACAGCTAATTTCCTCCAGGAGTTCGTCACGTAACATTAGTCACTTGGATAGCCTGTTAGATGGCATACCTGTGAATGGCCCGTTCTAAAGTATGGCCATCATAGAGGTACCGATGCCTATCAACCTCTGCAAGAAATCGCAACTGCTTTTTAGCTGCAGCTACAAGGTCTAGACTTGTTGCGATCTTCTGTGCTTCAGCCCACTCCAATTCTTGCTGCTTCTCCATTCTTCACTTAACCAACTAAAAACTGAAACAGAAACACTTTCTGCTTCAAAACAACTTCAATAATTTTTCTTCAAAACATAGAAAATTATAGCGCTGATTTCTGTTCATGGTTAAATGAAGGCATTGATTTTTCGAAGCCTTTCCTTCGTTAGAACTGAAGAGTCAAAAGACAACATTTTGTTGGACAAGACATTGAAACTTCACCTGAGAAATCGTTTGTCGCTATTATAAAATCTCTCTGATACTTCAACCAATACCTTCATTAAATTTCCCTCTCGCTTCCTATGTCCTTGTCTTCAGGGTTTGGTTCATATTTATACGGTCCACATGCGGAGGTTGAAATTGTTAATTACTTATCCATCTTCAACACGTTATATACTTCAATGCTAGTTTGTATTTTTGATGAAATGGACATTGTGTTTGTCACGTACAAGGCATTTTCCTGCGAATGGGACTTGATTTCTGGGAACTCAAATCGAGTGACCTCTGAAAGTTCCTTGCAAGGTTCTAATTTCCTCGGTTTGGACTTCCATGGATTGCATGCTAAGGCCCCTCATTGTAGATTCGTAATGATGCCTTCACAGTACACACCTTCAGCGTTGGCGAGGATAGAGTTGGGCTTGGATCTTTATGGTTGTGCTCTGTAGGCTATGTTTTGGGACAATGTTATTTGGGCTTTTCATGACTGGATGAGCCATGTTTCCCTTGGCAAAGCGTTTATGGGTCTCCACCCTGTCGTGACCCAACTACATTTTTTTGCGATTGAAAAAAAAAACATATATATATATATATATATATATATATATTTTTTTTTTTTTTATTAACTCGTCCTTCCAACTATATATTTTAGGGGCGGTCTGTTGTGAATTTGTAAGATTAAATTATAAATCAGTACTTGTAGTTTTTCAAGAGATATTAAATAATATTTTTAGTTTTAATAATAATTAATTAGTTCTCATATTTTTAAATATATTTATAATTTAACTTCTCAATTTATTTATTTTAATAAATATGGAAATAAATAAAAAATATTAAAATATTGATAAGAAAAAAATATTTTTTAAATAGAATTATATTAAATTAATTATAATCCACGATGGTCAATGGACTGATTTATTAGTTTTTAAAAACAAAAAGAACTTTTTAATTTGTTTTGTAAAATTAGAGGGACTAATTTATAATTTACTAAAAGTTTTAATAGATTTTTACAGAGAAGATTCTGACTTTCTTATCCAACTTTTTAATGGTGGAGTGAGAATAAAAATTCAACGTCATCTTTTGTTCAGCATATCATAGAGCATCTTCCTAGCAGAAGCAACTAGAATTGAAATGGGGCAGTTGAGTGGAAGATGGGGTTGCTCCGCTTTTTCTAGGGAACAACGATTGTTGGGGTTTGGACAAACACTGAGGAGACATCCAACCTTTTTAAAAAAGAAAAGAAAACCTAGAATCGTAGGTATTCGTCTACTCAATACTTATGATGTGGCCATGCTGCATGTAGCCAATCCCCATTCCGTGGAATTATTCTAAGGCAACCTTCCCTATCTTCACCATCTTTTGACTGTTAGTTTGAAGTAGCTAAAAAACTTGAAAAAAAATAAAAAATCAATCGTTGCGGACTGACCCACATGACCACATCGACTCCTTCCAATTCAAGCTCTTCTTTTCCTCAGGACACTTTTGTGATGTATGCGAAGTTTCTTTCTTTGTTGCTCGTAATCAATTCCCTCTTTTTCTTTTTCTTTTTTGGTGGACTGAGCATAATTAATTCATGATCTGATTCCTTGTTTGGTTAGTAATGTTTCCACAAAGACCTAAAAATGGTATGACACTCTTAATGATGGTGATAGAATCAGATACTCAAATGAATTTGGCTAGCTTTTTATTTGTCAAATGCGTTGTTTAGAGGGATACAGCTCACCACGTTTATAGTGATGAACAAACAGAATTAAAATTTGTCACATCTGTTCAATTGGCCATGTTTTATGGTGGAGGCATGTTTTGAGAAGTTTATAATACTGTTTAAAATCTCGGATTCTGCTTGATATCTATTGGAGGATTTTTATTGTTAATAAGTTTAAGAAAAGAAATGATTTTCATTATTCGCGTAATTATTTTACGAATTTCAAAACTTTGTACCCTTTAGACTGCACTGTACGTTTTGAAACATCAATTTAGTCATAAATAGAATAACTCTAACCCAGCAATTCATTACGACTCATTTCATTTGTATTTAATTAACATATGCACAGAGGAACAGCCATAGGCCCAGAGTAGCCAAGGTACTTGACAGCTTGCCACTGAAATACCGAAAAGAAATCACCAGGTTGATGTGTAATCATTAACAAATTAAAGAAGTAGACGATTGTTTTGTCCATACTTAAATTCTTTATTCTTTTAATTATTTTTTATTAAAATCTTATATTTACTTTTTAATTGAGAACATTTATTTTTTTATTTTATGATGTTTAGACTTTCGTAATAACACAGTTATTTAGGAACTAACATACTACTGATATGATGTATTCCTTTCTAAATGAATAACGCATGTGATATGTAGAATTTCAATAAAAAAGATTCAACAAAAACAATATAAAAAGTACGAAGTTGTCAATTAAAAAAAATATATATTTTTTATGTTATTGTATTTTTAGAAACTCATTTTGAATGTTTGCAAAATATATTATATGTAAAATTCATTACAGTAAAACTGTGAAGTGTATTTTAAAAAAATAATATTATAATTATTTAAAAATAATAAAATACATATAAAATCTATCTAACATACAATAATAATTAAAAAAAAACAAATATGTTCGTTAAAATGAAAATGAAAACAATAATAATGCTCACGAGCATATATATATATATATATATGTATGTATATATGTATGTATGTAGTGCAACCAAATCCACATATATTGGTTTTTTTTTAAAAAAAAAAATTAGAATCCTAAAAATTGCATGTGTTATACATTCAGAATTTGCCGCACTCACATCATTGTCATGTAATGTCACAACTAAAAATTTTATAATGGAGGATTTCAACCAACACAAAATAAAAAGTGAATTTTGTTAATAAATATATAAAAAAATCAATTAAAAAAATTTGAAAAATAAATGATACATAATTAGATAATAAGCATAGAAGGAATAATTATCAATGCGTGCAGAATCATTTTCCAGATTCCAAAATTTTGTACCCTTTGGTGCAGTTTTACGAGGATCATTGCTATGAGTTGAACGCTGGCGACTTGGTCTTCATTGTAACAGCAATAAAACAATAGCTTTCATTGACAAAGACCATGGCATTATATAGGGCGATATACATTTACTTATCTAGAATCCAATTCATCACACTCTCTAAAAGTCATCAGAAATTTTGAAGAAATCCGTGTCAATGTCTAATTCAACAATTAATTATGACTCGTGATGATTAACCATCAGTATTCAAGTAAGATAATTAAGTACATGGAATTGGCCTGCCAAAATCAAAGGGGTCGGAACTTGTAGCTAATGTACTTGGTAACAGAATGGAAAAGTACCAAAAAATAGTGGAAATGTGTATCAATTCTCAAATCTAGGAAGAAGATTTTAGGAGTCAGCAAATACCAGCAGCCACTAAAAGAGAGGTCCATTGTCAACCAAAAACCCCGTCCATGTCTCGTTAGCTTACCGAACCCGATCTTTCCAAATCAAAAGCTACTGCTATGAAACAACAACCCCACCTCCTAACTTCTCACAATCGCTTAATAGGAATTATCACACTAAATTTCAGTTTGAAATCTCTCAGACAACGCTTGAAGGCCCCCCAATCCCATTGTCTCTGTTTTTCACACTCTTTTGGCCTTAAAATTCTCCGAGGCATCCATGTTTCCTTTTTCATTTTTAATGAAATAAGGTATATTCTCTTATTAGTTTTTGTGAGAACTCAAATAGATTGTTCTGTGACAATACATTAGATAGGCCGCCCTTAAATGTACTGGAGTATTTCCAAAAATTGTTTCTCTCTTGTGAACATATATATATTTCGAAATGATAATGTACGACTTATTTTCAGTTTTCAGACAAAAATTGTAGTTATGTGGGTTTCTTTGGTTTCCGACACCTAACTAATAAAGCCCTAGCTAACTGTTTTCAAGCTGTACTTAACAGTAGTTGTGATATGTAACTATCATTCTATCAATTCCATCTTCCTCCAACCCCGGCCAAGCACTACCTAGAGTAACATATACTAGTAGTTATTTGTTTTGAAGTGGAAAAAAAAAATCCTAAAAAGCGAAAAGCTTCTCCCCAACACTTGATAGTTATTCTTTGTTGAAAATTAGGACCTTGCTTTTTTAAAGAGAGACAGACTGCTCTCCAATGCAAAAAGAGATTTTGAACCAAGAAGAAGATTAATTGGCAGCAGAGGAAGAAAGAGATTAACAAGATGGTGGCAATTAGGAAAGTAGGGAAATACGAGGTAGGAAGGACAATAGGGGAAGGAACCTTCGCCAAGGTAAAGTTCGCGCAAAACACGGAGACTGGCGAGAGTGTAGCCATGAAAATTCTCGATCGAAGTACCATCATCAAACATAAGATGGTCGATCAGGTCAGTAAGTTAACCCTTTTTTGTTTTGTTCTACTTAAGATTCTTTAAATATTTTCGAAGTCTTTCACTTTGTTTCTGCAAGAATTGAGTACTCGAATTAGATTTTTCTTTAATCTGGTAAGAGAAGAGAACTTTCAGTTTGAATCAATGGATGCTCGCTAAATCGAAGAGGAAAAGAATCAGTGGAGGGGGTTTTAAGAGCCCAATAATTTCTCAAAAAAAAAAAAAAAAAAGTGGAAGAAGGAAAGATCCTATCTTTGAAATGGTTAAATTGACCAGTCACTAACCCAATAATTTCTCAATTTTATGATTTCATGCCGAGGGGATCAGTTCATGGCTTGTAAACAAAGAAACTAGCTAGTTAGTTTAGTGGTCAATGTATGAATTGGATTTGGTGAAAGTTACTGTCTCCTTGAACAACATGGATTTCAAACATTCATCGTCTGGAAGCCAATGAGTGGAATTACTTTTTCCAACAGTTTATTGGATTTGAACTCTCTATTTCACTCACCCAGGCTGATGCAGAGACCTGCAGCATACTAGCCAGAAATGACTTTGCTTTGGTATATACAGTAGTGAAACCGCTTAAATAAGGAGCTTTTCAGCTGAAGTTTTCTAGTTTGAAGCCAAATGCTTTGATTTTGTTGTCTTCCCATATTATGCTGCTTTGACTATTGGTAGCTTTCTTGGCTAAAATTTGTCATAATTTTATCTTCCTGCCATTCAAAACATTTTAGTTATTAAGCAACTCCCTCTACCTTCCTTACAGTATCTTTCTTTTTGCTTGCAGATAAAACGGGAGATATCTATAATGAAGCTTGTTCGACATCCTTGTGTTGTGCGCCTGCATGAGGCATGGAGTTTCTTTTTTAAGGATATTAAGTCTTGTAGGTCTTTGTGTGGTTTGGATTTTTCCGTTATCAATTGTGCTTCCTCCTGACACCTACTGTTTTATGTTAGGTTTTAGCAAGCCGTACGAAGATTTATATAATATTGGAATTCATCACAGGTGGTGAATTGTTTGATAAAATCGTGAGTATTCTAAATTCAAATTTGTGGTCTTGACATAATTTTCTTCACTCGCCACTAATACAGCACTCTTGTTAACCATGATTATGTAGGTGCATCATGGCCGTCTTAGTGAGGCTGAAGCTAGGAGATACTTTCAACAGCTTATTGATGGTGTGGATTATTGCCACAGTAAGGGAGTCTACCACAGAGATTTAAAGGTGTTGTTTTGCTGACATCCAGAAAGCTGTCGTTCAGTTTCTTTTTTGCTGGAATCTTATAGTTAGTTTATGCATGTACAGCCTGAAAATCTTTTACTGGATTCACAAGGAAATTTAAAGATCTCAGATTTTGGTCTAAGTGCACTGCCTGAACAAGTAAGATCTTCATCAGTGAGAGTTCTTGTTTTGTTTCTATTTGAAACCATCAAACTTGAGGGAATTAACAACACAGCGTTTGCTACTTTGGCAATTCTTGTGTGTGTAGGGAGTTAGCTTGTTGCGGACAACATGTGGAACTCCTAACTATGTAGCACCAGAGGTAATTCTGATAGTGTTTAGCTTCTAACTTGAATGAAACCTTAAATCCTAGCATGCTTCTGTAAATTTTCATTTTCTGGTCTAGGTACTCAGTCACAAGGGTTATGATGGTGCTGTTGCAGATGTCTGGTCTTGTGGGGTCATCCTGTATGTTCTGATGGCAGGATATCTTCCATTTGATGAGCTTGATCTCACCACATTATATAGTAAGGCATGAACTTGTATCACGTGCACTTACTTGGTGTTACTGGTAAATTTTATTGTGTTTTCTTAATTATGAGGATTTTTTTCCTTGCTGAATAAAGAAGTCTTCGTCGCTATTTTTTCTGGGATTAGGATTTAATTTTACCTCCAAGTAAGTATGTAAGTAATTTAGGAGAGAACTTTGGAATAAAGTATCTTTGGATGTTTTGCAATCCTTTAATGGCGAGGCGCTACTGATTCTTTCTTGTATGTCAAACTCTTAGAAAGCATTAGTGAGACTTAAGGTTTAACAAACTCATCAAATCAAGTAGGTACATTCAGTTTGCACCATCTAATCTAAATATCTGGTAAAGAGCTTTACACTTATCACTAAATCTGACATAGGACAACCCATAAATTTGAAAGTAAAACTTGCTATGCTCACTGAACTTGACTGAAAAACAAAATGTTTTCATTCTTTACCATGTTTATTCCATCCTTAAATCTTGTCAAATTGCCTTCCTAGCATATATTAGTGTGGTTCATCATGTTATTCTTTTCTTACAGTCTCTGAAAGCAGCTGCTTTTAGCTTCAATACAATCTCACTTGACAGTTGATTTTATTGATTTTTCAAATGCTTTCAACAGATTGACAGAGCAGAATTTTCATGCCCATCTTGGTTTCCAGTGGGAGCAAAATCTTTGCTTCATAGAATTTTGGACCCCAAGCCTGAAACAGTAAGTATTGGCTACACTACAAGACATTGGTCTTGGTTAAAGACTGTTTTAAATTACAGAAAACTTAAAAGCAATATAATACTTTGCAAGGCAACTTGAAAATTTAATAGAAGTAATGACATAGATTATCACTTAGGGGAAATATGTTTCAAAATCAAACTGAAATGGATTTGTCCTTTATTTTTCTTATGTTCATTTAATCTGAAAACTGAACCCAGTTTCTAAAGATGTAGTTGGTAGAGATGAGTTTTGCATGATCCACTAGTTTGGAAGTTTTCTTATATCTAGTGTCATGCACATATGTTTTGCCATTTGCATGACAATCTAGTGCCCCTAATCTCATGGAATGGTAAATAGTCCAGTGCCTCTATTGGGCATATCATCTCCATCATACTTTGTTGAGAAGAGTGTCCAAGTGTTTAATTCAATTCAATGGCTTTAAGTTAGTTAATTTGGCTTTGGTGTTTCTGAGAAATTTTCCATCTCTCTTTCTTTCTCTCCATGCAGCGTATTACAATTGAACAGATTAGGAACGACGAGTGGTTTAAGAAAGGTTATGTTCCTGTCAGACTTGTTGAGTATGAAGATGTGAATCTGGATGATGTAAATGCAGTTTTTGATGATCCTGAGGTTGGTTCATATGCTACATGCTGTTCTGTAATTGTACAATTTTGAAAAATCATAGCGTTGATCGTTGATTATTTTAATAAAACAATTGTTTGCCAGCCGTAGCAAATTTTATCAAGACAAAGTTTGCCTTCAATTGGAGATAGTTTCATAATCACCGTTATTGTTTACTCACCCTCCAGCCCTCAGTTTTGGTTTCACTGTACATGCATGCTCTAATTTCTGGCTGGTCAACTTTTCTAGAAGTCACTTGAATTGGAAATTCCCTTTCTTTTCCATTGAATATGCTGCTCTAACCCCTTGTAACTATGGTTGCCATCCAGAATTAATCAATTTGGCTGCATATCTAAGTTGTGTTCTCTTTAATTGGAAGTGGCTATGTCTCTCTCCTATTCGCCTTCTTGATAAGATTGTTTGCTGTAGGAACAAAGGGCTGATGAACAACATGGGAATGAGGATATGGGTCCTTTGATTCTTAATGCATTTGACTTAATAATTCTATCTCAAGGGTTGAATCTTGCAACCCTATTTGACCGTGGGCAGGTATGGATGATCAAATGTGTGAGTTACATATTCTTCATTTTGTCTCTTGAAGAGTGCTATTTTTTAACAGCATGATTTTTCACTTCCAGGCATATACTGTGAGGGACACTTATTTTCTCAAAACTATTTATCTTAAAGACCTTTACCTACCATCCAACATATCGAGTTTCATAGATTATATGTTTTTGTATCACCTCACCAGTACTTGTTCTTGTGTACAGTTTAAAGTATGTAGGCACTAATGTTTATTGAAGAGGATCTAATTTCTTTGTCTCTGTTAGGACTCTGTGAAGCATCAAACACGCTTTGTTTCAAGGAAGCCAGCAAATGTTGTATTATCAAGCATGGAAGTTGTTGCACAATCAATGGGTTTTAAGACTCACATTCGCAATTTTAAGGTAGACAGCTTGGGTTTTATAGCAGTACTCTTTTCTTTTGCTCTCCCTAATCGTCATAACAAATGCATTAATATTGTTGGTATCAGTTACGTTGTAGGACTATACTTTGCAATTTCTATATTCAATCTAAGCAGAGATGGTGTGTTACTTTTCAGATGAGAGTGGAAGGTCTTTCAGCTGATAAGGCTGGTCATTTCTCAGTTATTCTCGAAGTAGGCTCTCAGCCCCAATTCTGCTATACATTTTTCAGCTGCTTTCATATCTCCATCTACTGACTAATAATCACAATTATTATTTTTAACTTTTTGGCTGCAGGTATATGAAGTTGCTCCAACCTTTTTAATGGTAGATATTCAGAGAGCTGCTGGAGATGCTGCTGAATACCTCAAGGTCAGTTGTTTCGATCTATCCAGTTTGTGTTTGTACGCATTAAGTGCTGGGCTGCTACCCCAGTGGTTGCGTATTAGATTGCATTAAGAAAACTTTCCTTAAAACAGTCTCTTTCTCTTCCTTTAAAACCATTTCTTAGTATAAAATGATGTGCTTTTCTTCATGCAGTTCTACAAGAACTTCTATAGCAATCTTGAGGATATCATCTGGAAACCGCCCACTGAGTCGAGCAAATCTAGAATCACCAAGTCAAAGAGCAAAAAGCGCTGATCTCGTTTCCTAGAATTGCAACACTAGTATTTTGATGCCGGCCTATGTTTATGCGTAATTGTACTTAGGTCTTGCGATGATACAGTCATAGCTCAGAGCTTACATAACCGTTCCTATTATGTCATCTAACACAGCTTCTCCCATGTTCCAGAAGGGTAGAAAATATATGCTTAGCTTTTTTTTTTTTAATGTGCAAATCTTTGTTCACATGAGTTCCACCATGGTTATGCTGTTTTGTAGTCGTAACATGTAGCCTTTATATATTCTTTAAGAAGACACTACAGTTTCCATGAGAATGTCTCACTTTTGAATATTAAAGACGATAATTTTTTTTTATTTTACTTTAATGCCATGGCATAATCTAAAATTTGTATCCCTCTTCTTGGATTTAAAAAATGGCCTGACATTTGTATCGGATCAAATGTTCTCACATACATTTCTGTTTACAACAAGAGCTCTAGAAGCCTTCCATATTAGAGTAGCATAACTCTTCCCAGCCAATATATATTAAATGAGCTTTCAAGAAATTCCAACCAGCCGGAGGAGGAGATTTCAAAGAAGACCATGCGAATCTGCACATGAACATTGTCCATTAACAAACTTATGAAGCCGCTTCCTGTCTTTAATAATGATTTCTCTGCTGGTCAGCGATGAGACAACCTTCATAAAATCATGGCAATCCTTGCACATAGTAACACTTTTAATGACCCTTACTGGTGCACCAATGGGCGTATTCAATAACCCAAATGCTACTGCCAACTTCTCACTGTGGTAAACAGTGGAAGAGAATGTCTTCTCATCGGCTTCCTCTTCCTCGTCATCAACTACCTCCATTTTTTTTACTAGCTCGTACCCGAGACTCTTTGCTTTGTCAACTAAATCACTCAACAGTGTGTGAAGCTCTGCATTGCAGTTATGCAACCGGTTATTTGTTTTGAATGAATGAACCTCTCCCTTAACTGTGATCCTACTCCAGTCCTTTAACTTTCCGGCTTTCTCCTCTTTCATCAGTTTTCTAACCATAGAAACATCCTCCCACCTCTCTGCTGCGATGTACATATTTAATAAGATGACATAAGTTTCGGTGCTTTTGGGCTTGAGTTTGAGTAACTGTTCAGCAGCATAAAACCCCAGTTCCGCATTCCCATGATTTCTACACCCTGCAACCAAGAGCAACCATATAAATTCGTTTGGCTCTACATCCATTCTCTTGATGACATCAAAAGCTTCATCAAGCCTACCCAGCCTCACAAACATGTCAACCAAGCATCCATAATGATCCATTACAGGCTTAATTTTGTATTCCTTTTGCATCATCTCGAAATATTCAAGTGCTTCATCAACCATTCCACCATGGCTACAAGCAGCCAGAACGCCCACAAAAGTAATCTGGTTTGGTCTGAATCCAGATAGCCTCATGTCTTCAAAAAGCTGCAGTGCTTGCTGAGACTGACCATGACGTGCAAAACTTGTAATCATACTAGTCCAAGATATCAAAGTTCTTGTGGACATCTCCAGAAAAGCTTTCCTTGCCCTCTCAATACTCCCACACTTATCATACATATCCACAAGTGCAGTTCCAACAACTACGTCTGATAAAAACCCTGACTTAATAGTCTGGGCATGTATTTGTTCCCCCTGCTCTAAGGCCGCCAACCTACTGCATACAGTTAAGATACTTGACAAGGTGAATAGATCAGGTTTCCTACCAGAGCAATTCAACTTCAAATACATGCTGAGTGCCTCGGTACCACTTTGCTGCGCTGAAAAATTATCCTTTGCAAGATCCATTGCTTGTGCATGACCTGCAATCATTGCATTCCACGTAATCAAGTTCTTATATTCCATTCTATTAAACAAATTCTTCGCCTCGTCAATGCATCCGCATTTAAGGTATAAATACACAAGAGAATTTGTGATGCGCAGGTTTGATTCATGGCCAAGCTTAGTGCTCACTGAGTGAACCTGCCTCCCCAGATCCAAAGACTGTATAGTGCAGCACAAGCTCAACACACTAGTTAGTGTGAAGTCATTAGGCTCAACATTCTGAAGAAGCATTTCAGTGAAAAGTCTTAAACCCATTCCTGCTCTGCCATTGTCACCACAAGCAGATATAATTGTCGTCCAGGAAATTACATCTTTTTCTCTGGTCTCGCGAAAGGCTTTAACCGAAGAGTCCAAACTGCCAAATTTTGAGTACAAACTACAAAGAGCATTTCCAATACTGGAGTCATGACTGATCCGGTACTTAATAATGAAGGCATGGAACTGTTTCCCCAATGTGATAGACTTCAAAGAAGAACAAGCATTCAAAGCAATTGATAGACTGAAATTTGAAGGAAAAGACCCAGATTCTAACATGTCTCCGAAAACCTCAACAGCTACCTCAGGTTGTGAATTTTGAACATAGCCTGTCATCAAAGTCGTCCACACAACAACATTTCTTCTAGGCAAATTATCAAAAACTTTTCTGGCATTTACCATAACCCCACATTTTGCATAAACATTAACAAGAAATGACATCACAAAAAACTCTTCATGGGTTCCGGTCTTTATCATGTGAGCGTGAACCATTTCAGTCGCTGGGACCGAAACCTTGTCTATGCAATGTTGTAAAAGAGGAACATAATAAGAGGACTCAATTTGTTTTCCCTCATTTATCAACGAGAGCGCTTCGCGAAACTCCAAAGGTTTAAAAGGGTTGAATGGTTCAAAATTTGCATCCAATTGGGTGTTTATAGAACTTCTCTGATACGAAATGTTGGGGCTCTGAGATTTACAGATGCAGCTCAGTGTCAGCAAAGAGTGAAAATAGGAAAGCCAAAGCCAAAGCTAAGTATTTGGTTAATAATTAAAACATATCCAGACCACTTTTTTCATTCATTCGGAACCAAAGACTACTGTTTATTTAGCTCTTAATAAAAAGCAAGTAAAATTACTTCCATCCACCAAGTCACCAACACTATTGCAAAGAATTCAAGACACGGAGAGATGTTGTTTGATATGCACACGTGATCTTCAACAAATACCGCTATGTTTCATTTGATTACTTGTAAGAAAGAGAGAATTTAAGAATACAAAGTATAGTAAAGAAGCTATAGTTGTAGCAATACCTTTTCGCTGGTCGAGGGGTGTTTCTTGAGTTCAGGTTCAAGCTTGAGAGTGCCAGTGATAGCTACTGAGGGCAAAGAAGCCATGAAAGGAGAAAAAAGGAATGGATGAACAAGCCTATGCTGGCCTTACTCGTCCTTTCTATCTACTTTGACTGGATATAATTGTGGAGGGAAGAGAGAGTTGTAACAACATCCAGTCATTTCTTTTCTTGTTTTTAACCACTTTAAAGTTTCTACCGATAAACAGTGGTAAAAAAAAAAAATTACATGCAATACTTCCTCTTATAGTATTCTTTTTTAAATTTGCCAGCCCTAGGCACCAAAGTTCAAATTTTCATGACTTGATCTCCATGTAAAAAAAATGACTTGAGAATATGATTGAAAAGTTTAGAAAGTAAAAAACTTCCAACGTTTGGTTTTGGGACAAAAAAAAAAAAAAAAAATACTTTGAGGAAAAATAAAAGTGCAAGGGACCTATCGGCTATCGGGGCTGGGCTTGTAATTTTAATTTTATACTTTTATCAGGATCTGATTTGGTATGTACTAGTTATATTACCACCCATTGTATGGACACCACAAGTTCTTTATATTGTTTAAACGCACACTTATGTACCATCATGAAAAGTCCAAATAAATTTATTTATATGATTGTATATAGGAATGATAAGTAAGAATAAACGGATTTTAATTGATTATTGAATTTCTAGAATATTATTAGTTATATTTGTTCACATGTTTTTGATACTAACTAATTAAAATTTGCTAACAATTTATTATAGATGTTAGCGAGGCTTTCTCTCACATTTATAATAATAATAAAAACAGTTCACTTTCATAATTGATTTAAGATAACACGATATTTTTTCTATTTAGGTCATAAATTGATTATTTTTTATCAATTTGTATGACATCCATATATAAATTATTTAACCTAAGCTTCATTATTAATATTGAGCGTTATTAGGCATTTTCAACTTTAAAAATTAGTTTAAAATGAAACTTTTCTTCACATTTGTAACCAAGCATATCATTTTTTTCATAATGGATGTGGAATAACATAACACATCGACTAACCCTTGAATGCACTATAAATTTTTTTCAACATTATAATTCTTATTGAGAATAGTTCCCAAAGGGTATCTCTTATGTATCAAAATAAATGTTCCTAAGAGAATAAAAGCAATAAAGACAAGTCATGCACTTTTTATTCTATCTTATACAGAATCAAACTCTGAACTTTTTAAAGAAAAAAAAAAAAAAAACCTAGCGTCAGGTGGACTATAAACTTACTTGCACAAGTTACGAACTTAATTACAAACAAATCATCTACTTATAAATAAATATTTTGTCATACAATAGCGAAACAATTTTGAATAAAGAAATTTTTCAAAAATTTGGAATCTAATTATATAATTGCTCAACGAAAATGTAATAAATTATAGATAAATGATGGAAGTCAATTAATGGCATAGATTTATAGTATTGAAAAAAGAAAAAAAAACAAAAAACAAAGAGAACTGGAATCTCAAACTCGGAATGATTAAGGGTGTTTGAAAGACAAAACAACTTAATTACGTGAATCTTCATAATTTTGTTTATTTTTTTGAGAGAAATTAACAGATCAACGTTTTGTTATTTATTACATCATTTATCAACCATGCTATTTTATAAGAAAATCAATCAATTGTAATTTTTAGTTTATTCTTATTCTCTATCATTTTATTAAAATTAACATCATATGCACAACAAATGATTATTAAAAATAAATAAAAAAATTAATATTCACCTACATGTTCTGCATGTGATAGTTTCAATATATAACTAAAATTATTTAAGTTCGAATTCTTACGCAAATATGTATTTATTTCATCAATCTATATTAAAATTACTCATATTATCCTATATACTAAAACAAAATGCTTTTCCACTGCAGCAATGAACGAGTGTCAATCACTCGTTTATTGCTACGGTGTTTTGTTTTTTTTATAATTTTCATTAATCGTTTTTTTGCTAGACCCGCTCCCCCTCCATCCGTTTACTGTTCATTTGAACAATAAACGACTTCCTTTTTTTTTTGTAAACATTGAATTTTTAAAAAAATTATGTCCATTTACTCGTTCACATGAACAGTAAACGGCTTGCAACTTTTTTTTTTTTTCTGAACATTGAATTTTTTTTTAATTTCTATTTCTTAATAGTATTTGGTGTTAAAATTTTAAAAAAACCAACAATTAATTAGGTGTTAAAATTTTAAAGAAACCAAGCAATTTATTTCCTTTATTATTTATTTTTAAAATTAAAAAATATATATAGTTAAATACAAAATTTTTAATTAAAAAATTATAATTATTTTTTATCATAAAATAGATTATTAAATTGAAATAATTTTTCTAAACGATTTTATATATTTTATCCAACCCGCAAGCATAAGCGCGAGTAAAAAATCTAATACTATATACTAAAGAAAAATTATTTTTCATCGTAGCAATGAACGGTGTTAATTATTGTTCATTGCTATATTACTTTGGCTTTTTTTGTTTTTTAAGTTTTCATTTTTTTTTTTTTTTTTTGCCAGCATCTGCTCGCCCTTTCCCCTCTCCTTTTTTTTATCCGTTTATTGTTCATTTACTATTGAATGGTAAACGGCTTGCCCTCTTTTTTTTTTTAATTTCCGTCCGTTTACTATTGACATGAACAATGAACGGCTGGCCTCCTTTTTTTTTTCCCTAAACATTGAATTTTTTTTAATTTTAATTTCTAAATAATATTAGGTGTTAAAAGTTTAAAAGAACTAGCAATTAATTAGGTGTTAAAATTTTAAAGAAATCAATAATTTATTTGCTTTATTATTTATTTCTAAAATTTAAAAACACAAATAAGAAATAGTTAAATATAATTTTTTTCATTTAAAAATGATAATTATTTTTTATCATAAAATAGATTTTTAAACTGAAATAATTTTTCTATATGATTTTATATATTTTATCCAATCCGCGACGTAGCGCGGGTAAAAAATCTAGTGTTACCTATATAATCATCAATTTTAATGAAATAACTGAAAAAACGTACATTAAAGAAGAAGAGGAAATAAAACGTTATAATTATTGATTTTGTTATATATAATTAAGAAATGTTTTAATATATAAGGATATGTGGATGAATTTCTCTTAATTTTTCAAAGATTCAAGCAACTAAGTTAAAGCATAATCTAAGTTGACTATTAATGGATTTACCTAGCTAGCAATGGCTCTTGCAACATTTGTCACCCAATTCCTCAAATCCTCTTGAATGGCATAGATATTGCTACATGTCTTTACCGTAAACGCAGAAATGCTATGTGACCACATTTTACAAGCTTTTTTATTTGTTTATTTGCTAATACACATGCCAGATTGCATCAGTAGGAGTGACACCCAAATATATATATATATTTTTTATGCTCTGAAAACAGCGCCAGGGGTGGGCGGCGGCGCGCTTCTATTGCTAGAAAATTGCAGCCCCCATTAATCTAACCTTTGATAGCATGAATAAGAACACACTCGCGTTGAGAATCATCATCACTCTATGAGACACCTAACAGACTTAATAGAATCAGACTCAATCTTAAGCTTCTTGCACAAAAATATTAATGCCAAAGAACAGAACCCTAAACTGCTTAACGTCACTTGATAGTGCTTGGAAGAGAGGAATGGAGCATTATTGCTTGGAAGAAAAGGCACCAGTCTAAACAATATATATATATTTCCTTTCTATTTTAGAACTACCAAGGAAAGAAATGGAAAAGATATGGAACTACTTTTGTGCTCAGTATGCATTTGTCCCACATCGGCTGGTTATGTTATGTTATAGAGGTTTATAAAGACAAGTCATTGCCGAGTGCATTATTAACCATGAGACGGAGTGGTTGGGTTGTTAACAGACCCAGGAAAGTCCCCGGGCCCAATTCTGCAGAAATGCAGCTCTGGAATCAGAAGAGCTTTGAGCAATGGGTAAATTTGCCTTGTGCAAAGGGCTGAGACATGTGTGGAGCTCGTATCTATTGCCGAAGTTACTTGGCCGAAAATACAGTGATTCACTCAGTCCACAGTCCTGTGGACCAACAGAACGGGGCTTACGGCTCATGGTGTGCATCTTTTTCCTTCGTTAGAATTGTGGCAACTTTTTTGTTTTCCATATTATATAACCATCCAATTAATAAATAAAGTATATACGTGTGTGATTTATCATAAAAGGAAGGAAATAAATGATGGTATGTGTCATCAAGTTAATTTTATAGACATAACCAAATGAAGTAATGAAATTAAATGGAGAGTTAGAATAAATATATTTTACGAAAAATTAAAATGATGAGAACTATGTAGTATAAAATTAAAGAATGATTTTTACCCTTATTTGTATTATAATCTCTATTACTGTAAAGAGAAAACAGTTATGGCTCAACTGTCTAGTGTTAGAAACTTTAAATAATATAATAAGATAAATATTTTGGTATGTTACCCGATGTCACATTATCTTTTTGCGAAACCCTTCATGAAATAAGCATGATTTTCAATATATATAGTACTTTTACTGCCTAAGCAATATGAATAATCGTGCCACGTAGTTTGAAGGAAACCATCTGGTTAACAAATGATCTCAGCTTCAAAGTTAGGCTTTATTAACAGTCCTTGGCCCAGCCCAGGGTCCACATAACAGCCGAAATTGACAAGCCCTCCGTGGGATTTTTCTTCCGAGGGGTTGCTAAATCAACTCATAAACTAAGAAATTGGTTTGAAATCATTTACATTTTCTGTTAAAAAAAATTAAAACAGAAATAAAAGAAATTATTTGTTTTTATTTCTGTTTTAGAAAACGTTCAAAACCAACAATTACTTGACAAAAGTTTTCAAAATCAAATAAAGTGATTGTTGTTTGTTTTCCCACTCTTTTGCCAGTTAAAAAATTCAAATAATCAAATTTTTCGTTTTATTTTAAAAAATTAAAATAGAAATCTTAATTATAAGAAACGAATCTCAATTTTATTTTATTTTATTTTTTACATTTTCATAAGATTTTATTTGTCTATTTTTCATATATCTATTTCGAGAGTTTAAAATTTATGAAAAGCTCGAAAGCCTGCAAATTTAAACTATTAGATATCAACCATCCTAAAAATTCTTACGTACTTAGTTCAAATATTGAAAGGATGACAACTTAGTCATTTTAACCGGTGGTTCTTTCTAAGGATTTAGCATGCATATTCCCAACACTTCCCTCAATCCAAAAATATGTTTGAATTTGTGTATTTCATACCATTTGAACAATAATGGTGACATTATGCAATTTTCAAATCATTTATATTTTATTTGTCTATTCTTAGAAAAAAGGTTAACATTCTTTTTTTTATATTCATATTTATCCATAATAAATGACGTGATCCATATTCACGGACACGTGTTTCATTGTCTGTTAAGCAGTCCGTAAAAAAATGGTCAATCAAAAAGTATTTTGATTTTCTTTCATAATTTTGTCAATACAGAGAAAAATAAACCAAAGATAAGAAAAGAAAAGAGAATGTCATTTCATTCTCCGGGCTGGCTTGCAGGTATTCCCTCTCTTCTCAGCCACTATATGCAAAAATCTGAGAGTCAAAGCGCAAAGAAATTTGCAATCCTGCGAAATTGAAAATATCTCCTATTTCATAATTATATTCAATATTTCACGTTATTGTTCTGCCATTTGGTCCCATTATGGGCTAAAGCTGCATCATCAGCCCTTGAGAGAGGTTGCAGCCAAGATGCATCTGAGGTAGGTCTAGGAACTTGTAGGTGCAGCCCAAACTCACCCATTCAATCAATCAAATCAGTTACTTATGTTGCAATTTAATTTACCTAAAGAGGGAAATCTAAGATAGAACAAAATTAAGGTTATAATTAATAGATAAACTTTTACAAAAATTAACAAATGAAAAAAAAATCTTATTTAATGCTGATGAAAAGATTAATTTTTAAAATTATTCATGCAAGGCTATATGTAGATAGAACAAAATTATTTCACAATTTTATAATTATTTCATTATTTTTTTATTTAATTATTACTAATTTTTTGTGCATTTTTCAATAAAATTTCTGCTTAAAAAAACATGATTTATTCTTCTTTATTGAGAGATTCTTCAATAAAGACTGATAATAATTTAAACATGAAATATCAATTAAGAATTCAAAAACAAATACTTTAAAATTATATATATATTTTTATAAAAATATATCCAAGAAATAAAGTTACAATTAATATATAGACTTGCATAAAAATTAACCAATGAAAAAATAAAATTTGATCCTTATTTAATGTTGATGAGAAGATTATTATTATTATTATTATTTAAAATATATGCATTTGATCTATATATATTTATTTAGAAAATAATCAATAAAATTAGCGTAAAAAAAGTATTTGAATAATTGGTTAGTTCCTTTAAAAAAATATTTTAATTATTTTATTTCAAATGAATTGGTTCTATAACGTTAAAAAAATATTTATAGTAAATAATTTATATTATGTCGGAAGATGTATCGATTAATTTTTAATAAAATCAACGATTCAATAGTTTTTTTATACATCTTAACCATATCTAATGAACTAAAATAAATTATTTGAAATACACTTTTTACCTTTTAGAATAATATATATACGTGTGTGTGTGTGTGTGTGTGTGTGTGCAACTATCATTTAAAAATTCGAAGAATTCATGATATATATTATACTAATTTATTTTAAAAAAATAAAAAATAATCATGTTTTAAAATTTTATTCTAAAATTCAAATATAGAGAAAGATGAATTTATATTTATCGGTAAATAAAATTTTGTATATAAAAATATTAATTGGATGAGAATTTTCATAAGAAATGATAAATTCAAAAAATAAAATTTAAATAATAACGATAATATAAGTCTGAAGTATATGTTAATTTTAAAATATAAAAAGATATATTATATAATCATCAATTTGTATGAAAAAAATTAGGATTGATTTTTCAAAATTTCTAACACCCAATTATATATATAAAAAGATCATAAATTGATGGAAAAAAACAAAAAAAAATTGATTTTTCAAAATTTTAACACTTAATTAAATAAAAAAAGAACACAAATTGATGGAAAAAGCAAAGGAAAAAACCAAAGAAAAGAAAAGGTATTTGTGGTACATCAATTAAGGGATTAAAATTTTATTTTAAAGTTTTAGGAATCAAAATAAAGTAACTTGAAAAAGAAAACTTAAGCTAGAGTAATGAATAATGATTTTGTGAGGAGCTGAAAAATGATTTTTACTATTCAAAAACAACACCTCTGTTGTTATAGTTGTACAGTAAATTCTCATGTCTATAACCAACGTAAGATTTCTATTTTCATTGAGATCCTTGCTTGGAATGAAAATATATTAATATTTCTATTCTCAAAAAATAAAAATGCCATGTCGAGTTTCCACTTCTCGGACGATGACGACACGTGTTTTCTTCAATGATACCATCAGTTGCCTACAAAGCACAGATATTCTGCTTGTCATAAAGGATTGAGAGGACGGATGAGAGTTGATGGCATTTCTCTTCTTTGATGACACCATCAGCTGTCTCCTAAGTACTTGCATTCTGGCTGTCAGAAAGGATTAAAAGGAAGATGGATGGGAGGGGAGGGACTCTGAAATAGGGGATGCGAATATCTTTCCTTTAACAAGAAGGACAAAGATAGTAAGGAGTTTACAATCTAGTGATAATAATTTTTTATAAAAAAGTCATGAGTTCAAACAAATTGATTTTGTTAGAAATTTTGAATATGTTTTGAGTGTGTTAGTTAGAAAAAAAAAAAAGATAAGGACCCCATATCCCTCTTTATTTATAATTTCTAATCCTTTCAATTTAGATAAATTAACTCGTTTTTTATATATATATAATTTTCATAAATTTTAATTTGAATGAATTGACTCTCACCTTTTTTTTTTTTTTCTTTATTAGCCAAACAACTAGAATGATAAATCATTCATCCTCTCTCCTCTTCCACCCCTTCTAAATCCACCCTTCTTGATCCTTAATGAGTGTGTTTTAGGTGTGTTAGTTAAAAAAAGATAAGGATCCCATATCCCTCCTTATTTATAATTTCTAATCCTGTCAATTTAGATAAATTAACTCGTTATATATATATATATATAATTTTCATAAATTTTAATTTGCATGAATTGACTCTCATCTTTTTATTTTTTTCTTTGTTAGCCAAACAACTAAAATGATAAATCATTCATCCTCTCTCCTCTTCCACCTCCTCCAAATCCACCCTTCTTGATCCTTAACGAGTGAAATTTCTTTTATAAAAGGTGGGTTAATGATTGCGGAGCTCTAGTCTTTATTATTATTTTTTTTTGGGTCTTTATTACATTTTTTTTTAATTCTAAATTCATTCTCTTTGATTTATATCTTAATTTCATTTCTTCGTTAAGTTTTAGACTGACGACCTTAACTTGTTTTTTTTTCTATTTTAATCTCATTTTTTATTATTTTTAATTAAATTTAAATTATAAAAATTATAAAAAAATGAAGACATATCTAACCTCTCTGAAATTAAAAAAAAAAAAACTTATAAAAAATGAAGCTAAATATTTTTTTTATCTGAAATATCATTTATGGAATTAAATTTATCTCTATGATATTAACCAAATTTTAAGTACAAAATAAAATATCTATAGTATTTTATTTTTAAAAATATGAGGAAAGTTTTAGTTAAATTTTAAACTTTTGAATAGTATTTATAATTTTTTTAGTACTTCCAAAAAGTATACTATAATTTACTTGTTTTGATTTTATAAATTTTTAACTAAAACTATCTTCATATTTAAAAAAGAATACTATAAATATTTTATTTTACATTCAAAATTTACTTACTATCATATAGATACATTAAAAAAAATTGCTACCATCACAGAGATACATCTAAAAAAATATTATAATATTTTATTTTATACTCAAAATTTACTTATTATTATAGAGACAAATTTAAGCCCATAAAAGATACTTTTGATTAAAAATTATTTTTATCTTTACCTTTTTTTCTTCAATTTTTTAGAGAGAATGACACGATATATTTTTACCTTTTTTTATTTTTTTTCAAAATTTATTTATTTAAATTTAATAAAAAAACAAGATGAAATAAAAATAGAATCGAGAAATGAGATTGAAACAAGAAAAAAATTAACATTGTCAATCCAAAAGTTAATAGAAGAACTAAACTAAGACAAAAATTAAATTTAGAAAAAAAAATGAACTTAAGACAAAGGAAAGCACAATAAAAATAAAAAATAGAAATTGAGAGACACAATAAAGATAAAAGAAGAATTGAAAAAAGATTAGAGAAATATCCATAACCAGTAACCTCGTAGGATCCTTCTAAGATTCTCAATTTTATTTTATTTTTATTTATTTATTTATTTTATGGGGACAATTTAAATTGTTTGTTGGATGCACATAATATGAGCCAATTTGATTATTACTCGACCTGTATTGGATACCCTTCTCAAGTGGAGTAGCATATATATATATATATATATATATATATATATATATTTTACTTTTATATTGGATACCCCAAAAGTCTTTGACTACAGCTGTTACAATATGGGCAGTTCAAGAAATGGGCCGTCCCTAATTACTTGATAAAATAAGGGTTTAACTCGCTAGTGATGATGCCGCAAGCAAGATGCAACATGCAACAGCCAACAGACAAGAAAACCGTCAGGAAATCAAACAAATTTCTCCCATAATTATTATAAAAATATGTCAGAACACGGGCAATGATTATTTACACTTGTAAATTCACCAAATCCCTCATTCCTCCCATGCTGTGTTTCTGCATCTTCTCATTTGTTCGGCGACCAAATGAAGACCAACAATTCCATCTTGAATTTGTAGAGAGAAGTCCAACAAGCTACTCGGATTAAAAATCCTTAATTCTAAGACACTGATCCCTTCTTTTTGCTTACTTTGACATTAAAGACACGGTGGATGCTAGCAATCAACATATCTGCAGAAAGAAGGCAACGATGATTGAGATGATACTATGTCTGAACCATTTTACAGTATAAGGCATGCTTCATGGTCTTTCAAATGAAGATGTTGAATTTTGATATATTTGATAATGTTGATGTAAGAATTACTGTTGGAACGTGAATATGTTTGACGGTGTTGGGTGATAAGTCCATACATGAAAATGCCTATAAACTTTCATGCATTCATTGAAATTTTTTATCTGCATGATATACATGACTTTTTGTTAGAGCGTCAAGACCGCGTACCAAGAAAGCGGTGTACAATGGCTTTTGTTCAAGTAGTCGTCATAATTCTTGACATGTGGTTTCAACAATCCATGAGAAAGTACGTACCTTGCACCAATGGAGCCTTCTTAGTCCTTGTATTTCATTGTTTCCTTCTCAAATCCAATTGTCGGGAACTGCTTAGCATACTCTTCAACATCATGACGGAGCCTTGCAATCTCAGATTGAGGTTCATCTGATTTCATGGCTGCAACAAAATCCTTCAACTTTGTTCCTGAATTTACATTTTGTACCGTTATAAGATTGCTATCAGCATACAACCATGGAAGATAATGACTCTAGACCAAGCTTATATCATAACATAAAAATAAATATATAATTGAGAGGGGATGGTAAAGGACCTTGTGCATCTGACTTGATCTTCAACGCCAACTTCACAGCAGCATCAAAGAACTCGGCTACTTTCACGAAATCTTCCTCAATAAAACCCCTTGATGTGAGAGCCGGGGTTCCTGAAGCACCAAAAAGCAGGGGGTTATAAGAAAATGGAAGTACATAATCAACAATAAGTAAATACAAGATGAGCACAAGAGGATTGCCTTACCCATTCGAATGCCACCAGGAACCATGGCAGATACATCTCCAGGAACAGTGTTTTTATTAGCTGCAATATGAATTGATTCCAGAACCTTTTCAACTCTTGATCCATCAATACCCTGTCAAACAAAATTTCCAAAATAAAGTATCCATTCTCTTTTTTATGCTAAAAATTATTTCTGGCACAGCAAATGCAAAAGGAAACAAGACTGATTTCAACTAGATTTCTTAAGTTTGCCAAATTTATTCTTGTAAGTCATTTGAAGTTTTTGATTTCATGGCATCAATATTCTTGTCAGAATCAGGATTAAAAAACTTCTTCATCCATTTTGAAGAAAACTCCCTGCAGACTTAATCTGAGAGTGTTACTACTTAAAATTATTAAGCTTCACAGGTAACATTTTTCCTAAATTTACCGACAATTTCAGATGAGATTCTCTAAAGTTAAACATGGAAACTTGTCCTTGGGGTGGTGTCCAACATGGCAAAGCACCACCACAGTCCCGATATGAATTCCTAGTTTAAAATAAACAATTACGAGGTACATTATTTAATCAGAGGAAGAAACCCACTCTCATACCTTGTTTCTTAAATTCACCAGGACTAAATGGTTATCAGTGCCACCAGATACCAGTTCATAGCCCTTCTCTAGCAAGCTCTGCAAATACAAAGGACTTGAGAAGTGAAACTTCTATTGCTAAATGAATCCGATAAGATAATGAGATGCAGCACGTACTTGTTTACAAAATAAGCACATAGATATGGCAAACTTGACCAATTACACGTTAAGCACTCATTCATGATACCTGTGCAAATTTTGAACAGTTGCTGAGAACTTGCTCTTGGTAGGCCTTGTACTCTGGAGTTGTTGCCTAAAATCAACAATTTTTAAAAGTCCAATCATCAGGAAGCCTGGCCAAAATGATTCTAAGAATTTCTAGATGGCATCATGCAGTATTTTAATTGGGAAATCAGTCATAGGGTGGGTGTATGGGGAGCCAACCTGCTTTAGTGCAACTGCTAAACCAGATATGGTATGATTGTGTGGACCACCTTGAAGTCCAGGAAAGACTGCCTGATTAATTCTCTCTTCATAGTCATACAACACCTGTGGGATGAAACTCAATTATTAGTTTACATACTGAAGGTGTTTTATTTAAGCACTTCTACATTCAGTAATGAAAGACATGAAAGATGATTGTAGGGAAATAACAAGAGCCAAGTTGAATGACTAATTAATCTACTTTAAGTTCATCACAATAGTCATCTTCTTCACTCTTAATTGAAATTTGGACTCACTTCTTTCCCTTGTTTGTTAATTGCTTTTACCCCCTTCCTGAAGAAGATCATAGCCCCCCGTGGACCTCGAAGTGACTTATGTGTGGTGGTTGTCACGACATCTGCATATTCGAAAGGCGATGGGATAACACCTGCAGCAACTAGCCCACTAATGTGTGCCATATCAGCCAATAAAACTGCCTTTTGCTTATCACAGACCTGTCAGTCCATCAGAACAAAAATCTCAATTTTTCAGAAAAAAAAAATCCCAATCCTGATCTCCAAACAGTAAGTACAGTTTAAATGATATGTAACAACAATAACTGCAGTTGTGCCAATATCAGTTATGCCATCCAATTTTGGGGAGTTTACCTTGCGGATACGTGCATAGTCATAAAGGCGAGCATAAGCACTTGCACCAGCAACTATAAGTTTCGGCCTAAAGAGTGCAGCACTTTTCTCCAGCTGAAAGCATGTTAATATTAATAAGTCAATCCCTTATCGGATGAATTGAAATTTCACTTTTCCTAACGCCAAAATTAGAGAAATTAAGAAAATGCAACAAACTCCTAAACAAAATAGAAAGCCTAACTAATCAACAACAGACAAATAACTTTCAAGCCTTGCTTTGCCATTACAAATCCTACAACTAGAAAAAGTAAAACAGAAACCATTTTGAATTTTACAACGTAGTAAATTCCTGAAGTCAACATTTTGAGACACCTGCAAAACCCTAAATTTAGTACTTGAAATTATAGTCCTGAAAGAAATTTTAGACTTTCTGACCATTTTAGTATTATGTGTGCACTCGAAGCTTGTCTAAGTGATGGATTGGGGTAAAATTAAAACTCAGGCACTGTGCTTGACAAACTGCAGAACAGTTGTTAAAATTCAAGAGACAAAATTAAAATCTATTGAAGTGAGAACTTCCTCAAAGACAGGAAAAACAGGGCACCTGATCATAGTCAATATAGCCTGTACTCTCATTCAATCTGTATGGCATTGTTTCAAAAAATATGGACACAGCAGATATCTTCTTTGTGTCAGTCTGCAAGATGGCAACGAGAATAATAAGATAATTCGCATCATAGTCTATGAGTCAATAATTCTAATTATTATTCCACATAAAAATAAAAGAAACGCTTCAAGCAACATGGACAAATCAAAATTCTAATGTTTCCATAGCTTCAGAGTTTTCCAGACTACTCGAGTGCTTACCATATCTACATTCATTAACAGAAATACATTAAAAAGAGAAGAAAATGGGAGGAAACTGGTCATGCATATTAGATGGTGCAATAATTTGAACAAAACAATGAAAGCTATAGGATCAGTTTAGCACTGCCATCAAATGCCATGTTTTCTGGGTGAATTTTACAAAACACCATTTAAACATAGAAAGACAGTAGAAAATTTTCAAAGCAAGAGCAGGGAAAGTAACAAAGAACTTCAGTGCACATAGTCTTAAGTTATGCAACAAGCACCTGATAACCATGTGAAAGATGCCCACCATGCGGCAGATCAAGTGCCATGATTCTCTCATGAGGTTTCAGCAGCGCCGTGTAAACTTGAAAGTTAGCTGGGGATCCAGATAGCGACTGCACGTTGACTGCAATAAATAAGGTATGTGTTGTCTTTAACAAAGCTGGTGTTCAATGTGGAAGTCTCTTGCACACTTACAGTGCAGATAGATAGATTGCATTACATAATTAATCAAGATGATAGAGAAGATGTGAAAATCCAAATATCCACAAACTTAAAACATTCTTTTCTGTTCTTTTCAATTTAGCATAAATATCCATTTCCCATCCAGTGAAGTGGGTGTTAACTATACAACAAGATAGACCTAGCAGAAAAATAAGGAAAAATAGAAAATGAAGAAGGTAAGTTTTATATGCATGGTGAATTAACTTCAATCGGAAGAAAACCAACAGAGGTTTGCTGGGCATTTTCTCACCCATACCTGGCTAGACTTATATAGAGTATAATGAATTTTGCTTTAAGCCAACAACTAAATAACTACTGTATTTTCTATTTAATTTACCCTTTTTACAAGGATTTATTCTCTTCTGAGTTTCTTGATCCCTTTTTTGTGAAATTAACTGATTTCTATATTATTTTGCCAGACACAAGAAATTTTCCAAGAAATTCACTCCTTGCACCCATTACAACTTTAAAATGTAAAGCTTCGTGACAACATCCATGGCATTTAATTAGGTTTTCCAGTTATGCCAAGCTAAGGAAATAGAACCAATACTACTAAATCAAGGTCAGAAACGCCATATCATGCAATCTAAAGCACCAAACCAGAAATGTACAGAGATCTTTGAGTATTAAAAATAATATATAAAGGAGAAGGGCAAGGATAACATATACAAGAAATAGTTCGTGAAACTTCATCTTGCATCATAAGAAAATCATAAGATGAACCATTCCCTTACCTCCCCACTTTTCAGGATCCAACCCAAAAGCTTCCAATGCACGCTTCTGACATAAGGTCTCAGCCATGTCAATGTACCTAATCACACAAGACCTCAAACATTATTACATAACGTCCATTTCTCTAGCAAAGCAAGGTAACCAAACGAGCGAACAAGATTCCGTGGGGAACAGCAAAACATGTTACAGAAGTGAAGTTGATTCATTATTCACGTACTCATTTCCTCCGTAATATCTAGCTCCTGGGTACCCTTCACTGTACTTATTAGTCATAACAGAACCAACCGCTTGCATCACCGACACCGAAGTGAAATTCTCGGAAGGTATTAGTTCGAATCCCTGCACGTGAATCCTCGATCATTACCTAACAGCATCAAATCAACCAAAATGACATCAAAATATACCATAAGAAAAGCTAATAAGCTTTACCTTCCATTGCCTTGCTTTCTCGAGTTCAATGACGTCAGCAATTTCCGGATCAATTTCCTCTAACGGAGCATTCAATTGCTTTACCCACTGAAACCATAATTATCATCATTATTGCTGTTGTTTTTCATTAACAAGAATGATAGGAGATCCGGTAAAACCGAGATCTCAAGAAAACAGCAAAGTTAAGCTGTTATATATATATAATGATTGGCTTACATTGGCACGAGCTGTGTCTTTGTCAGGCAGAGCTTCATGAGGCAAAGAAGACTGTCGAAAATCAAATCAAATCAAAATTAACGAATCAGATGGAAAGGAATAGAGATGAGTGTTATTTGATTAAGCTACGGCCCGAAACAAAAGTAAAAATAAAATAGATACCATGTAATAGAGGGAACCGCCATTAAGGTGAGATTTGATTGGGTTCCTGATTGAGGAAGAGAGCCTGCGAAGAGCAATTGCCATTGCTAAGTACAATGTTATGTTTTTCTCTTACGCTCTGCTTGGGCTGCCAGTTTTCTTTCTATTCTAGTACTTTTAATTTTACGATTTGGTGATGCGATGCGATGCTTTTTTTGGTTGGTGTGAGTTGGGGTGTGACAGTGAGTGGGGTTGGTGATGACTGATGACTGTTTTAGATTTCCATTATTCTATGCGAGAAAAAAACAAAATCGCGGGTTCTCTCTAATCTGGTAACTCGGTGGTTGGTGGATCTTCAACATGTCGTTGGATATTCAAATAACTTGGTTTTAATAGTAAATTTTACCTTTATTCTATTATCATTTGATAATTTTACATTTTTAATATTAAATTAACTCATATTATTAGGTTTGAGTAAAATTAATCTAATTTACTTAATTATCATTACTTATAACAGTTAATTGGATTGATCATTACTTAAAATGCTAAACCAATATTTTTTTGACATTTCACTATTAAATATATATTTTTATATATTTTTTAAAATATTTTTAATCCTTCTAATCTTAATTTTTTTAAAATTTTTTTATAAAATATTTTATAAATTATATAAAAACACTTTATAAATATTTTTAACCCCCTAATTTTAAAATTTTTAAACTTTTTTTATAAAATATTAAATTATTTTTATAATTTATAATTTATAAAATCGAGGGAGTGGGATCAACCCTCGGTTATGCTCATTTTAATTTATAAAATATTTTTTTAAAACCTGAAATTATGTATTGTTAATTATGTTTTTTTTATATTTTTTATAAAATGTTTATAATATAAATTAAAATGAGTATAATTAAAGGTTGGCCTTCCTAATTTTATAAATTATAAATTATAAAAAAATTATAAAAAAGTTCAAAATTAAAATGTTTTTTTATATATAATTTATAAAATGTTTATGATATTTTATAAGAAAATTTTTGTTAAGAAATGTTCAAGATTAAGGTGGTTAAAAATATTTTTTAAAAATATAATAATTAACAACGAAATATCAAAACAACGTCATTTTGACATTTCAAGTAACGATCAATCCTTTTAATTATTACATATAACGATAAATAAGGATATTAAATCAATTTTATTCAAAAACTAATAATTTAAAATTTAAATTATATAATTTAATTTTAAAAATCTGAAATTATCAGATTATAATAAAATCGGAGTAAAATTTGTCATTAAGCCAAATAACTCTTGCTTTAAAAAGCTGGTCGACATGCTGCTCCCCTCCCATGTGATTTTGAGAAACCCAAATTGACTCTTCGTTGACTTCATTTCTAAAGTTATCTGCAGTTTGGCGGATAAATTAATAGTATGCAAATGAGCCCAACTTTTCATAAACCGTTCAAACCTCAGCTCCTTCAGAATCAGAGCTAGGCTCAAGTTCATTTGTCGAAGTGGAGGGGTCGATTTAATTTTGCTTGTAAAAATCACTTTGTAAATGAGTTGAACTCCACTCGCCTAACTTTATACTCATAAACTAATTCGATTGGATCCAGGAGGTATGTTTATTAAATAAAGTTCATTTAAAAGTTATATAAATTTTTTTCCACATAATATGTACAAACTTGTAAATGTTTAAGGAGAATAGATTTGTAACAGAAAAATTTTCCACATAATGTGTACAAATTTGTTAGTAATTAATGAGAACAGATTTGTAACAGAAGACCAAATGCCATCAATTGGTTAACCTAAGGCAACATTCTCCATTTTTATTTTTATTATATACTGATATAGATAGATTTGATCTAGTTTGACGAACAATACCATGCACAAAAAATCCTACTTTCCTGAGAGTGGCACCTTTTTAAGCTATTTCTCTCTCAGGCGTGTAGTAAACTATCAACCAAAAAATGTAATTTAGTGATTAGCATCCCTGCAATTTTTCTTTTTTCTACAGCTATTTTTTTCTTCATATCATCCCTCGTTGTAGCTTATATGAAACTAAAAGTATCTTAATTCTCTTTTTTTTTTTGTTGAAATTTTGTTATTTTCCCTCAAATAATCAAGGGTGTCTTAATAAAATTCCAAACATCATTAAAATTATCTATCCAAATGATGCATTGTAATCAAATCAAAGATGGACTTCGGTATAAAATGTTGGGTTGGGTCCGTCCTCATGTGGAGGCCCAAAACCCAGGTGAAATAGGAAAAGAAAAATTTCCTAAACTTAAGTCACGATACACGTGACTTCATATATGCACGTACAAATAAATGGCAGCCAGCTACTCTGCTAATGAAAGCTGCGACAGCCGACTAAGAAAAGAAAAGGAGAAAGGAATAGAATTTGCCGAGACAGAAGAAAAGATATTCTTCATTTTTATTATTTTTATTTCAATCTCAATTAAGATAAATTTTCATATGTTATTTCTGACAAAAAAAAAAAACTTTTAAATTTAAATAGCATTGATTGTTGAGAAACCTCTACATTTGGGTTTTTTTCTTTAAACTAATTTAGTAAGATCTAACTTTTTTTTTATTAGAATTTATCTTTGTTACGATAACTTTAATGCTTTGATATGTATGTTTTATTTGAGTTTAGAAAAAACTGTGTATCTCATTATTTTATATTATAAAATAGTTTGAGTAAACTACATAATTTTTCTTCAAATTGGAGTTTCACATAAAAATTTGTGTGACTTATGATGGTGTGTTTTTTTTAATTATTATTGATTGGTTGATTCTAATTTTAATTGCATAAAGAAATAAAAAAATGTGATTTATAGTTTGAGATTTTGATTCGTATAAATGCCTTTTCCCAACATACAATTATATATATGAATAAAGCCTTTTTATTAATGAAACGACAAACAATAAATCTTAAATAAAAATCTTGAAAGTGAAAAGTGTTTTACATGGAGTTTGTTATGGTAATTCAAAAGATAAAAAAGAGGTCAAAAAAAAAAAAAAAAATGGAAGGAAATCAGTGAAGAAGAAAGGGAAAACAAATGAGAGAGAGGAGAGGAGGGGAATTAATATTAAGGCTTGCCGATATTTTAAATTGAGAATTATCATTTGTATGTGAGATATGTGAAAATAATCGAAGAATAAGAACTAATAAAATAGTGACACACCTGGAAGAAATTTCCCACTTCTAAGGCAATAAAAAATGTTATTTATATCATATAAGTATTTTTTGACTTGAAAATAAATATATTTTTAATTAGTTTATACATAAATAGAAATTAAGTTTTTCCGAGTCAATTTTAAGGATGCACTTCTTGCATTTTTCTCATTAAACTGATACATTAAAAAAATATATAATTTTTTTTATGCTAATCTCAATATTTAAATCTATATAAAAAAAAAAATCAAATAAGAGAACAAATAAACCACTGCACCAAACATCTAAAATTATCCATACCATATTATTGATCTTCCAAGTCCTCCCACTAATAGGCTCAACCACTAACACCAAAGATCGTTGGATTTATCATTGGCTGTAAGCCATGGAAGATGGCAGGAAGGAAACAGCTTGCTATGGATTCTTTAGGTTGCAAATTAACTATAGTTTGCATCCCGGTTAATTGGAAAACATACAAGGAATTGTTAAAGTCATAATAAAGCTCCATCTCTCGACCACTTATATTATGACGACACTCAAAAGTGGGGACTACAGGTTCTCATTTTTATTGAGGCAGAGGAAAAATATTTTAGTATACCATCGATACATATCTGTGTTAAGAAACGGAACTAGACATGTATAGTTTTTGGGGCCGTACGACATCTTCGACTTACGTTTAAAAGCTATAATTGATATCAATTTGTCCATCTTAAAAATAATTTGTTTTCAAAATCGGACCTGTCACTTACCATCCTAATTTGTATTCCAATAAACATAACAAATCGGAAACTATTTAACTTAATTATCATATAACACATACTTAAAAAATCTTTCGCTGCTTATCTATCTTCTTGCGTTTGTTATTTTCCTCAAACTAGCTCTATAAAATAACATAAAACATCTCTCTCTCTCTTTCATAAATAGTAATGGCATTGTAAAATGATTCCACAATGAACGTACTCTTTCGTTGCTGAAATTTGGATCGAAATATATATGAGACCTACTTTCTCCCATCAATAAACACATAGTTATGACTCCTAAAAACGTTTAGTTTGTTTAGTACATTAATTAATCAAGCGCTAATCTACATGGCCTTATTAATCAGGATAGTTGCCAAAAACAAAATTAATGGAACAGACCGTACGCGTGACTGGAAGCATGTAGTAATCAACTGCAAATTAGATGGGTGCCAGCACATTGAAAAATTGGAGTTTACGGTGCACGAACGGCCAAGGCAAACTCAAATTGCCTGTTACAATCATCGTTTGAACCACCAAAAATGAAAGAAAAAAAAAGGTATAAGGCCAATGCCGGCAAAATAATTCCTTTTCCCACTTGCAAAGGTATTTTGAAAGGAGGTCCGAACAAGGCAATTTTTTGGGTATTTTCTAGGATGGCGTGTTTTTAACAAGGTTGCATAAATGGACTTATTTTAATATGCACTTTCAACAGGCATAAACTATTCCGAAAACACGACCTAATGTAATTTATACAACAACGAGGGTCGACAACAATTTATCTTTCTGATACAAACAACAGATTAAGTAGCTAGGATGAATCAATTGTTTAATTCTAAATGTTCTTCTGTCTTTGAAATGAAGCGATGGTGGGATAAAAAGACCTATATGTGTTGGGTGTAGTAATGTTAGGACTAAAAACATTCTTCTCCGGGGAGATATATATATAAATACTGAAATCAATACATGAAAAAAAAAAATGTAACTCTTTTTAACCGGGGGAAACAAAGTATTCCTAGAAAAGGAAAATTATGCAAATCCATAAGGTTAACATAATTGATCAAGATAAAGTAAAAATACAGAGTTCAAGTCTTATTTATCTAACATTCTGGGAAATTCCAACTTGTAGAATCGTTGAGCATAAATGGACCCTCTCCCAAAAAACAATACAACAGGAGTTCTTATCCAGCAGCTACAACTAGCCCCTCGCACTGAAATGTTAGAAAATCAAAAAAGAAGAGAGGGTAGAAAAAGTTATAATGGTGGACAAAAAAAAAAAAAAAAACAAAAAAAAGAAGGAAAATAAGAAAATAATAATAATAATAATTTGTAAATAATCCCATTAACCAGGGGCACTAAAATAATTCCCTATACACAAAGAGACAGGGTGGTAAATAATTAGGAACAACGTTGCAGACTCAAGCTCTGTCAGCATTGCATATTATCTGCATTATAAATAATATGTGGGTTTCCTAAAAATTGCACAAATGAAAGAAGAATGTGATGGAACTTCTTGTCCTATAACATTCCAAAATTCAACAACACTACTTCTCCGCCCTCAATCTCTGTCTCACACTCAATGGGAACTGTAGAGGTAGAGGCACCACCAAGCAAAGACCTCCTCGACATAGATGAAGAAGAGCTCTCTCCAATAGAACAAGTCCGTTTAACAGTACCCAACACTGACGACCCGTCTCTCCCAGTATGGACTTTCAGGATGTGGTTCTTGGGCATTCTCTCTTGCTGTCTCCTTTCTTTTTTGAACCAATTCTTTGCTTATCGAACTGAGCCTCTTATCATCACCCAGATTACCGTCCAGGTGGCAACTCTCCCCATCGGACGCTTTTTAGCTTCTGTGTTACCTAAAACCCAGTTTACCATTCCTGGTTTTGGGAGTAGAGAGTTCTCTCTTAATCCTGGGCCGTTTAACATGAAAGAACATGTTTTGATTTCGATATTTGCTAATGCTGGTAGTGCTTTTGGGTCTGGTTCAGCCTATGCTGTTAGTATTGTTAACATTATCAAGTCCAAGGCGTTTTACGGAAGGAATATCTCCTTCTTCTCTGCTTGGGTCCTCATCATCACCACACAGGTCAGTTTTTTTTTTTTTTTCTTTTTTGGGTCCTGATATTGATTTAGTAGTAGTAGTACTATACTACAACTAATTCTCCTTGTTACTCCTTTCTTTCTATAATTTACTTAATTCTAGCTTTTGAGTTTTGCTAATCCAAGCTGACAAACGGACAAACGATGACGTGATTTTGCAGGTTTTAGGGTATGGTTGGGCTGGGCTATTTAGGAAGTACGTGGTGGAACCAGCTCATATGTGGTGGCCTAGTACCCTTGTTCAAATCTCTCTTTTCAGGTTTGCCTTATTGTATTAGGCTCGTTACTAGCTTGATTTTTGCAATCTTTAGACTATTCCTACTTACAATTAATTCCTAGCTTCTGATTAAGAAAGAGGTCATGTCACATATCTTCAGTGCTATATTTATGGTTGAAAAGCTCTAAGCTTTTTGTGTTGCAATTTCATTGTGATAAAGGTAATTGTGGTAGTGTTTGGTATGCGTCAATTGCGACGAGGGATCCAGTAACAGTTTCATAATATCTCTTTCGTTCTCAGACGCGCCAATTGCCAATGCCATTCGGGGAGATTCAGTTTCTCTCTCTATATATTGTGGTCTAACAATCCCATTTTGCCATATTTCATTTCCAAGTCTTTCTGTGCTGAAGAATGATGTCAAGCAGTGAATCTATGCAACCCATCATTATTAGGATATGTTCTTTGAGTGGATGAGAAAAATCTTCTGTTAGATGAACATTAATCATCCTAGAAAAAATTATTCAAAACTATTAAGGTAGATCCTAAACTCCAAGATTCTGAGGCGGGTCCCAGATTCAGGATCTCATATGTGTCGCGCGAGTATCTTCCCGGAGTCTAATGGGATCTGGATTTAATGAGGTTTAAGATTTTTTTTTTTCAAATCGAGTAACAATCAAGCCCACTAAGTGATAAAAGGGCGCACATGGCTGTTGGGATTGCAGGCCATATTTTTGGAACCTACTTGCATTTTGGTAGTGCCAGGTCCAATAGTCCAACGATGTTGCAAGTTTGGCTGAATAGCAATTTTTCTTTTCATTCGCCAACTAGCAGCAATTCTCATGCTCAAAGAAAAAAAAATATAGAAAAAAAGAAAATACTAGCTAGCACTAATTGTTCCAACTTCTGTGCAACCAAAACTCGAGGGTTATAACCAATAAACTTACTGCTCACATGTGATTTCTTGCCGTTTAAATACCTCGATCGTGTAAGTGGTCAGCTCTCCTTGAAAAGCCAAACATTAGCACTTTTTTCAGCCAAGGTTGATTGATATTTGATAGCCTTGTGGTATCCCTGGTCAGTAATATTTTCGTTCTTTTTTAAAAATATCAGTCTGTTTGTCTGTGAATTTATAGTTTGGCTGAAAAAATGTATCCCAGCTGGATTGTTATCATGAAAACGGATTCCCTTGTCATTTCTCAGGTAATTTGCAATCAAGATCCCTCTTGGCAATAGTCTTTGGAAATATGCTGTAATGGCAGATATTTCGGTCAGAAATGTTAACTGTGCTGCAAAGAAATTAAACAGCTGATTTTGTTGCCAAGGCATCCTTAATTATTACCTCTTGGCATATTATAAATCTTTAAGTATTTATTCTCAAACTATTGACCAAGTTAGTCAAAACAATCAAGAGTTAACTTGCATTATAGTTTTGTTTACAAGGTTGTTAGTAGGATCACAATCTTAAGAAGATACATTTATTGACATTGCAGGACATTGCATGAACAGGAAGACAAAAATGAGCACCGTATCTCGCGAGTGAAATTCTTTGCCATCGCAATGACATCTAGCTTTCTCTGGTATTTGTTGCCAGGGTACCTCTTCCAAACATTACAATCCGTTGCTTGGGTTTGCTATGCTTTTCCACATTCAGTCACTGCCCAACAAATAGGGTCTGGGATGAGAGGGCTAGGAATCGGAGCCTTGACATTGGACTGGTCAACAGTAGCTTCCTACTTGTATAGCCCTCTGCTTACTCCCTTCTTCGCCATTGTAAATGTCTTCGTAGGGTATGCACTGATAATGTACGTCGTAACTCCAATATCATACTGGGGACTGAATGTATATGATGCCAAAACATTTCCCTTTTTTTCATCGCACTTGTTCGATGCTCAAGGTGCATTGTACAACATTACAGCAGTTGTTAACGACAAGTTCGAGTTAGATTTGGCACAGTATGATAAGCATGGGCGGGTTCATTTGAGCACATTCTTCGCTCTTACCTACGGATTTGGATTTGCCACTATTGCAGCCACTCTTTCTCATGTGGCTTTGTTCTATGGAAGGTAATCTTTTACTTGGACATTCTTCGTTATATTAAATGGCTTCTAGTGGATCCCCTCAAAATGCTGATACAAATTTTCAATTGCTCATCTTCTAGGTTCTAGCAAAGAGCGTAGGTTTATTATTTGAATTCCTTGTTTAATAATTGGGAAGAATTTTTTTTTTTAATGACCTTTTAATCCAAGTTTCATTTAAATTAAGACACATAAAGATCAATGGGCAAGCACGGTGGCCTTTTCAAGTTGTTAAAACTTGCTAAGGCTTTTATTTGGTCCTTACATATTATGGATATGTGTTTAATGTAATTCAATACTTCCACAGGGAAATTTATGATCGTTACCGGGCCTCTTCTAGGGGAAAGGAGGATATTCACACGCGACTAATGAAGAACTACAAGGACATACCTTCCTGGTGGTTTCACGTGCTTCTAGCCGTGACATTACTAATCGCCCTTTTCCTCTGCATCTTCTTGAAAAAGGAAGTTCAAATGCCATTTTGGGGACTTCTGTTCGCAGCTGCCCTTGCCTTCATATTCTCCCTTCCTATCAGCATTATTACTGCCACCACAAATCAGGTAACCTGAAAATTTAACTCCCATAGCTCCATAACTTAAGTCAAAATCAATAATATATAAGCATTGAGGAAGATATTTCTTTGATCAAGCAAAGCCATAAGTAGAGGGGTCTGTTTACTGTGCACGCGTTACTATAGTGAGAACTTTACCTATTGTTGACCCTTTTTTTCCACAGACACCAGGGCTGAATATCATTACTGAGTACGTGATGGGAATCGTATATCCTGGGAGACCTATAGCCAATGTTTGCTTTAAAACCTATGGCTATATGAGCATGGCTCAGGCAATTTCCTTTCTTAGTGACTTCAAGCTAGGACATTATATGAAGATTCCTCCAAGGTCCATGTTCCTGGTTCAGGTAAACATTTTCACTGGGGACATAATTAACAATATGATGTCATCTTTTATTCATTTCGTGTCTTGTGTGCGTGGGTACTTGAATGTTTCTGCCTGCTATTACCTGATAAGGGCCTGTAACTGCACTTCAGTTCATTGGAACCATAATAGCTGGAACAATCAACCTTTGTGTGGCGTGGTGGCTTCTGAATAGTGTTGAACATATATGCCAAGATAACCTCCTTCCAGCAAATAGTCCTTGGACTTGCCCCAATGACCGTGTGTTCTTCGATGCATCTGTCATCTGGGGTTTGGTTGGACCTAAGCGAATTTTTGGCCCCCTCGGAGAATACTCAGCGCTAAACTGGTTCTTCCTGGGAGGACTGTTGGGGCCATTTATTTTATGGCTACTCCACAAGGCATTCCCTAGGCAATCTTGGATACCACTAATTAATCTACCTGTGCTCCTGGGAGCAACAGCTGCTATGCCACCAGCCACAGCAATAAACTTCAACTCGTGGATTTTAGTTGGAACAATCTTCAATTTTTTCATCTTCAGGTACAGAAAGAACTGGTGGCAGAGATATAACTATGTTCTATCAGCAGCTCTTGATGCAGGAGTTGCATTCATGGCAGTCTTTATTTATGTAACAGTAGGGATCGAAAATAAGAACTTGTACTGGTGGGGTTCTAACCCTGATGAGTTTCCGGAGCACTGTCCTCTAGCAACTTGCCCCACCGCAAAGGGTATCTCGGTTGATGGGTGTCCAACATTCTAGCTCTCATGTAGTAGTTTGAAGTTTTTAATTCTCAACAAAAACAGAAGTTTCCAAAGTTCTCAGCATTAATGTTAGAGAATCAGATTGTAAGATAAGGTGTCTTTACATTTCTTCTATAAACAGGAGAGTTCTTTTTCATGTCTAAATTATTGATGCAAATTAAGAAATCAATTATAGCAAAAATTTAGACACCTCCCCTGCTCAAAGTCTCATTGATATTTTCAAATACAAGTCATTCATTCATGAATGAAGTGTCAAGCACTTCTTAAGTGTCATTGTGTCAAACACGAGTAGGATGTGGCTCTAGCTAATCTTAAAACGAAGCAGGTAGACTCCATTGGTAAATGGAGGCTGTGGCAAACTGAAAACTCTACTGCATATTTATTTTTAATTGGCATTCATGTCAGACAGCGTACGCTGGGTGGTTCGTTAAGGAATCTTTAATTTGGACATGGGCAAAATGCTTCAAACTCTAAAATTTTCATGGCAAGAACGTCTCTTGGATGGTTGCCACGCTCCTAAAAAATGGATATTCAGCATAGTCTTACTCATTAGTCCATGCACTTGACATGATGTGCAACCATCCTAAGCTAAAGAATGGCAGTGAAATCCAAGTGGGTTGGCTTGAGTAGAAGGAGTTTTAATCGATTAAACAAGTGATCTCGAATTCGAATCCTTGTATATGTAGAAAACTTATTAGGTAGCTATGTCCGTCTTATGCATCCTCTCAAGCCGCGAGTGATTAGCCTGGACCTTTGATCTAGGATACCTTAGGAATCCAAAAAAAAAAGAATGGCAGTGCAGATATTTTTGGCTAATCAATAGAAGAAGTCAAGTTCTAACTTCCTGCATGAGGGGAGAAATTTTAGCCAAAATTAGAGCAATATCTATTCACGATCCTTTGTTTTTAATCTAATCCAATTTAATGCTTTCAAATTACTAAATGAGTTATATATGGACGGACAAAAATGGGTCTCAAATTTGAGACCTATCTTTCTTATTTTTGCAAGAATATCAGTAGAATACAAGCTAGATCATTGCTAAAAACAAACAAATAAAAATAAACTTTACACCACCTGTAAGCTGTAAGGAAGACTAAATGAAACTCTTACTTGCTAAAGATTCAGAAAGAGAGATCCTAAATTCATGCAAGATTCCATGAAAAGAGGAATAGATCCTATTCTAAGCTCAAAAAAATATGCCGAATCCTATTACGGATTCATTCTAAGAACTCCGTATTGTATTAGACTACTAGATTTGTGGGTTAACAGCTCCTCCAGGGTCAGGGGCTTCTAAGGTAAATTCATACTACTAAAACAGATCCTGAATCGTACCCGACGTGCCAAAACAAACTTCCCTCTCTCCTCGATACCCTCCAGAAAACTACCTCATTCTCACTCTCAGATATCTTCACGGCCCTTTGCCTTACAATGGGTTCTCTTGAAATAGAAGGCGGCGCAGGGAAATCGCAAAACCAGAACATCAACCAAACCGAAGAAGAAGACGACGTGTCTCCCATTGAGGAGGTCCGTCTAACCGTCCCAACACACGACGATCCTACACTTCCAGTATGGACCTTTCGGATGTGGTTCCTTGGAATAGCCTCCTGCATAATTCTATCCTTCCTCAATACTTTCTTTTCCTACCGGACGGAACCTCTCACAATCTCTATGATCTCCGTCCAGGTTGTGACTCTCCCTATCGGTCGCTTCATGGCCAAAACCTTGCCTACTACCAAGTTCAGGATTCCTGGATTTGGTGATCGCCAGTTTTCGCTTAATCCCGGACCTTTTAATATTAAAGAGCATGTGCTTATTTCGATTTTTGCTAATGTGGGGAGCTCGACTGCCTACGCTGTTGGTATTATTGATATAATCATGGCTTTTTATAGAAGGAAGATTTCGTTTTTGGCTAGTTGGATTCTTGTTTTAACTACTCAGGTAATTAATTGAACATGTTTTTTTCTTTTTCTTGCAATATCTGTGCATATATATTTGGCTGTTGTTAGGATGGTTGTGATTGATATGTCCTGTCGTTAATTTTGCATGTCAATGGTGTAGATGTTGGGGTATGGATGGGCTGGGATAATGAGGAAGTATGTAGTGGATCCAGCGGAGATGTGGTGGCCGCTTAGTCTTATGCAAGTTTCTCTCTTCAGGTAATTAGTATGTTGATTTCTAAATGATAATCCAATATCTTTTCTTTTTTTTTCTCTAAGTTGGTAGCTAGGAATTACCCAACTACTCACTAACATTTTAAATCAATGGTAAAATTGGTAAGATGATTAACAGCTCGTGTTTCCTTTTTGTACTTGAGAGAATCTGAATCTATTATTTAATGTGGGTGGCTAATAAACCTTCATTACGAGATTATTAATTCATCATCAATCAGGATGAGGACAATGAAAAGAAAATACGATAGCCCTGCTTGCAAATCGAAGCTCATTGAACAAAATTGAATAGCTTTCTTTTCTTTGCTGTAGAAAAAACTATAAACTCATTACACCTTAATTATTTATCAGAATAGTGATAAGGGAGGGTGGAATTGTTCTTACACATTTATCATTGTTTTGAGAGTTAATTACAAGATAGGTGTTCAAATTTGTCAATTTTTTCTATTTGAATGTTTTTTTTAATATATCTTTGCTATTTGAATGACTTAATTTATAATTTTTTTTTATTTAAGTGGATCGGTTCACTCTTTACTTACATAGCTGTTAACTGCATAAATGATATTCTTATGTACACCTACATGGCAAGCAAAAAAGAGTAAATTAGCCAGAAAAAATAAAAAAATAAAGAAAGAGGAAAAACAAAAAGAAGGAACCAACCCCAACCGTTACCCTTTTCTCTAGTCTGAAATCGAAAATTCACCGCCAAAAATCAAGCTCCTTTTCTCAGCTACACAACAGTCTAAATAGCCTCTCTCTCTATCCACCATAGCCATCCAAACAAAAGCCAACAACCCCTGCTCAGTCCACCACAACATAAAAACCGACGCCGATCTTCCCTTCCTTCTTATTTTTCTATTGGCAGCAGCTCTCTCTTCGTCAACCTCTACCATAGCCGCCCAAACCAAAGCCAACAACCCCTTTTCGTCCACCACAACATAGAAATTGATGTCTTCCCTTCCAGCTTTTTTTTTTCCAGATGGCAACAGCTCTCTCGCCGTCAATCTCCACCATAGCCACCAAACCAAACCAACAACTGCCCCTACGATCTTCCCTTCCTTCTTTAATTTTCCGATTGGTCAACTGCCCTCCTAGCGTTCCTTTTCCTTTTTCCTGCCACCCTCCTTCCAAACAACCTCAAAAACCATCAAACTCGAGACCAACACCTCAAAGCTAACCCTTTCCTTTCATTTTCTGGCCAAACCCAACCTTTTTCTGACTTACCACCAGCAAATCCGAATCTAGTAGCCTGTTGGGGATAGATTTCAGACACCACACAAAGATAACAAGAAGAAAATTATTTAGGGAGAGAGTAAACACAAGAACACTCGATAAAAAACACTTTGTTTATTAGAAACTTAATTCACTCAACTCTACATAACATCAAATCACTTATAACTATATATAGAGATAATCATACACATATAACTAGACATTCCTTATACACACAGAATACTAAACATTATATTAATGACATTCCTCATACTTATTTATTCATATTTAGCAATAATTAAGTTTACTTTCCAACGGAACCATAGTTTGCCGTTTTCTCTCTCTTCTTTATCTTTTTTTTGCCATTTTATCTTGTTTCTGGTTGCCACGAGTCTGATGGTGGTGCTCATAAGATAGTAGTGCTATGTATGCATGCAGTTATCTGTTAACAGACATATGAGCATAGAGTTAAAAAAAAAAAAAATTAGAGCTTGAGTCACTTGAATAACGAAAATTATAAAATACAGTGTCACATTGAAAAAATCGACAAGTTTGAGTTTGAACGCCTAAAATGCAGTTAATTCAAAAGGAGCAATTAACCATCTGTTCATCACTATTTGAAGTTCACGCAATCTATATTTTAAGAACTTCAATTTGAAATTTCTTGAAACAGGATTAAATCTTAGCAATTGCCTACTGCTATAACCTTATATTTGCAGGGCTCTGCATGAGAAAGAAAACAACCGCATGTCACGAGGGAAATTCTTCTTGATTGCGCTAATCTGTAGCTTCTCATGGTATGTGTTTCCCGGCTACCTTTTCCCGGCTATTGGAACCGTTTCATGGGTCTGCTGGGCATTCCCTAAGTCGGTAACAGCTCAGCAGCTTGGCTCGGGAATGAGAGGACTTGGTATTGGAGCTTTCGGACTTGACTGGTCTGTTATAGCCTCGTTCCTTGGCAGCCCACTCATCACCCCATTCTTTGCCGCTGTCAATGTCCTTGTGGGCTATGCTGCATTTATGTATATAGTACTCCCAATATCATATTGGCGTTTTGATGTCTACAATGCTAAGACGTTTCCAATTTTCTCTTCACATTTATTTGACATCAAAGGACAGCCGTATAATGTATCTGCCATAGTTAACAACAACTTTGAGCTAGATCTGCCCGCATTTCAGAAGCAAGGAAACATAAATTTGAGCGTGTTCTTTTCGCTGACGTATGGGATAGGTTTTGCTGCCATTATGTCCACCCTCACCCATGTGCTCGTGTTTAATGGAAAGTAAGTAAAGCATTTGGTGCTTTTTTGATATGATTATCAGAATTGCAGGCATTGGATATTTATTGGAATATGATTTGATTGACTATTCCAACAGGGAAATATGGCAAGAGTTTCGAGCTTCATACAAAGGAAAGATGGATGTTCACACAAGATTAATGAAGAAGTATAAGGACATTCCTGGCTGGTGGTTCCACCTGATGCTACTGCTGTCTTTTTCACTCTCTCTCGTGATGTGCATTTTTATGAAGGACCAAATCCAAATGCCATGGTGGGGGCTCATCTTTGCCGCAGGCCTTGCTTTGATTTTTACCCTTCCAGTTAGTGTCATAACTGCCACAACAAATCAGGTTATCATCTTCGAACTTCTAACAAATACCCATTTTTCACACTTGGCTCTGCAGTGCAATTCCAAGTTGCAAGCCTTGCAAGAAGCTGGGCTCAAGAAAACGCAGAGGATCTTGATAGGAAAATGAAATTGGAAATTATCTGATTTTGATACGGGACAAGATTTCTTTTCATGTTTCTAATTCAAATATGAAGGCAATTTAATGTCTTGCTGCTTACCGATTTGATTACTAACATTATTGCTGTTGTTCCCCTTCTACTGCCAGACGCCAGGGTTAAACATCATCACGGAGTACATTATGGGTCTCATATACCCTGGTAGACCAATAGCCAATGTCTGCTTCAAAACCTTTGGGTATATAAGCATGTCTCAAGCCATTTCCTTTCTCAGCGACTTCAAACTAGGTCATTACATGAAGATTCCACCAAGATCTATGTTTATAGTGCAGGTATCTTTCATGCTTGATTGTTCATAGGTTGGATTATTTTATTTTTCCAAATAGCATGTTGTCTTAACGCTTACCCGTATATTCTCCTATTCGCTGCTTCAATCAAGTGCATAGGTACTCTGATAAATGGAACACTGAATACCGTAGTGGCATGGTGGATGCTGACTGGCATTGAGAACATATGCCAGGACCAGCTACTCCCTCCAAACAGTCCATGGACATGTCCTGGTGATCGAGTTTTCTATGATGCATCTGTCATTTGGGGTTTGATTGGACCTGCTCGAATCTTTGGTCGACTTGGAAACTACGCAGCGCTCAATTGGTTCTTCCTTGGAGGCATGCTTGGACCTGTTCTGGTATGGGGTCTGCACAAACTTTTCCCCAAGCAGAAATGGATTTCGTTAATCAATCTTCCGGTACTTTTGGGAGCAACAGCTATAATGCCGCCAGCTACAACAGTAAACTTCAATTCCTGGATTGTGGTTGCAATAACTTTCAACTACTTCATATTTAAGTACCACAAGATTTGGTGGCAAAGGTACAACTATGTTCTTTCTGCTGCCTTGGATGCTGGTTTGGCTTTCATGGGAGTTCTTCTGTACTTCAGTCTGACAATGAAGGACATCAGCATAGACTGGTGGGGTGCTGGTGAGAACTGTCCCCTTGCTGCATGCCCAACTGCCAAAGGTGTTATTGTTGATGGATGTCCTGTTTATTAGTTAAACTGAGTTGCCACTCCGAGCTGCCTCGTTTGAAAAAAAAAAAAACTAACAAGTTTTTAAGGTTTGAAAGTGTTGGTTATGGTTAAGAAGAATCTCGGTGATGATTGATAAATTTGAGAGGGTTCACCAATTGTAATTATGCTAAGCATGCTGAATTTTTAGATTTACTAGTACTTATATCATCTTCTACACGTGATTCATGTTGTTTTCTAATGGAATAAGGTAGTAATAGGCTGCCAGTGGGTCGGGTAGTGCGTCGGGTACTACATAGGTTCTCTGTGTAGTCCTTCCATTAATTATTCTTTTAAAATATCCTAATAGATAATGGGTTGGATATAAATAAAATAGTATTATCTATTTATATTGACGGATAATTTATTCATAAATAAGGTATCATCTTTTTATCCTATGGATACTCAAATCCATTAACATAAAAAAAAAAAAAAATACTAAAACATAAATTTAAAAAAAAAAAAACAATCAAAGCATAACTTTAGGCTATAGAAATGGAATAGGGTCCAACTAAACCACCTACTCATGGCAATTTATACTTTTATCTGCATCTTTCTATGCCTTTTGAATTCTTTTTTATTATTTCCAGGACCTTGGGAATTTTGACTATTTGATCTTTTTGTGTATGCTTTTTGTATAAATATTTTCGAATCATGTAAAATTTATAGTTACAAAGCAATACAAGAATGATGCAAAATTAAAAAATTAACAAGTAAACGGATATGAATAAGTAGGGTTTAATATAATGATATGGACCGAATAAAGAAATAGACAAATGATTTTTAGTGGGTAATGAATAGGGCAATGAATATAGTATTTGTTAGTGGATAGAGTATAGAATTAGCTTAATGGATCGGGTACCCTAACCATTGTCATCCCTATGTAGTAATAAATAACAAATTATTTAAGTATTAAATAAGAATAATTAAATTTTTTATAATTTTAAAGTAATAATCATTTAAGCATTCACATGCAATGCCATTAAACATTATTGTTACATCATTTAATTTTCATTCTCTTTAACTTCTTCTATGATAATTTATTCTTATTTTTAATTAAAAAATCAACAATATTACATGATAAGTTGACAAGGATATATATATCTAAAATATTTCTTAAAATAGTTATATAAAAATTTTACTATGTCGTTATCATTATCACTATACTATATGTATGTCAATCAATTTATTCATACCAAACATCCATGTACAATATATATATATAAACACATATAATTATTAGTTTATCTCTTTGATGTTAAATTTTATTTTAAAAAATAATTTTAATTTTTCACCATAACATTATGGCTTAAAAGTATTATTTGCAACTCTTATTGTTTTATTAGCACCTAAAACTTTAAAGAAACAATTTGATTAAAATTTGAAAATATATACTAAAATTATTTTTATTATTCTTGTCAATAACTTCCAAATAATAATATTAGCATCCAGTAATAGTACATTATGACAATATCCTATTTATAATAAATTAACCTCAATATTCATAAAAATATATCTATAGTCTAATTTGATATTTTAAAATTAAATGGTTCTAAAATTTGATTTAATAAAAGGGGGTTATTAACATTATTTTCTATGTGATTCATGTTTTAATTTTTAATAAATCTAATCAATAATTTAAATTAATTAGAAAAATTAAATAATAAATATCAAGGACAAATAAATTAAGTGAATAAAAACTAACTATATATAAAGATAAAATTTAACTTACCTGAAAATTTTATCATTGTTAGTTTCTATACATTCTTCTAAAGCAATTTGACTTCATTCTTTAACCGATTTTTCTTTCTGAAAAAGCTTGAAGGTCTTTATTTATCTAACTATCTTATGTGGCAAGTTTTCTTACCGTAGGAAAAAGCCAATTATAAATGTTAAATACTAAATTACTTTTATCAATGAAATAATTTTACTAAATATTTTAATAATAATTAAAAATATTGTTTTTAGAAGGTAGTTAAAGGAAAACAGTACTAAATCAATGTAGGATTTTCTTAAATCCTTGATAATTGTATTACGCCTCACTTTTCATTTATCGTTAATGTTAATATGGGTTTAAGAAATCCATGTGCGAATTTTGTTGGAAAATATAATAATATTTGACTATACAAGTTTTTAATAGGATTTTATTGGATTTTATTTAATTTTAGAGAAGGTAAATAACTAATTTGAACTTAACGATTCAAATCCTAGGCTTTGAGTCATTAACTATTTGAACAATTATGTCTTATTAGCTTTTATTATGTGTACTTAATTAACATGTGACCAAAATATATACCTATCAATAGTAAAATTAACATCTAATGGGCATTTAAATCAAGTAGTAGTGGCCCCTGGCTAGCTTCTTACCAAGAAGAGTCAACCGGCATTAGGTTTGGCTCCCCTCTTTTCTAACACTAACAACTAACAACTACTCATATCTATATATGGAGAAAAAAAAGTTAAAATTAATAACCATTCAGCATTTTTTGAATTATTATTATTATTATTATTGTAATATTATTATTAAAAAAATTTTAAACTTACATTGGGTTTTCAAATAATTCTACTTAAAAATATACTATTAATTTTTTTATATAAAAATCTCAAATTAAAAAAATTTGTGTGATTGATTATGTAAGTTAATGTGAAAATAAATATATTCTGATAAATCATCTTTTATTGTTTATAATAATTATATATGGTAGAAGTTTTTATCAAATTTTGTATACATTAATTATTCACCTTAATTAAAAAGTTGTGATCGTTTCCTTAACTTTTTTTTTTTTTTTGAAATCATAATATGTTTGAAAAGAATTCAATTTTTTTCTATAGAAAAACACATAAAAAAGTTATAAATTTTTTTTATATATAAAGTTTTGGTCCCAAATGCAATTTATTAATTTTGTATTAAAATAGGCAATTAATCCTTTGAACTATCAAAATCTCGTTAAATTGCATCTTTTCATCCAATTTTATTAAAAATCTTCATCAAAAGTTTAAATTTAAATATCAGTTGTAGTTTGAGTTTATGCCTCTCTACTTCCTTATACTCTTTGTTTTGTATTCCAAATGTCTGTTTACTACTTTTTGTCTTCATGTTAACCTTGAACTTTATATTTTCATTATTTTTAAATGATCCGGGACCCTAAATTTTTATTTTGTTCCCTAAATATTATTTTTTTCTTGCAAATAAGTCCTTGTTGGTATTTTTCTTGCCGTTGTATTTCTTTAGTCATAAACAATTTAGTCTCTATTTTTTTTATTAATTCCTTACATGTCAAATATATATTATGAGAATATTTTTTCCTTCTTTCATTTTTTTTTTAGGTTTAAATTAAGAAAATGATTTTTTTAAAGAAAGAAAATTATAATATCGTAGGAAATATTATGAGAGTTTTTCTTGTCTTCAATTTTTTAAGTGATACAAAAAATATTTTCTTAGATTTTTTCCGTTTTTTTGTTTTGTTACTTTTTTAATGGCATGAAAAAATATACATTCTTTTTATATCATTTAAAGATAATATGTCAAACTCACTTAACTCGTATCTTGAAGTTTGTTGGTCAATGTTTTTTAATATTTTATTTCTTTTGTTTTCTCACAATAAAAAATGTTGTCTCAATCAATACCATAGAAAACAAATGTTTTTTAAACAAAAAAAAATATTATACATATTTAAATCTACTTAACTCTTATATTGTCCATCAAACCATTTAAACTATTTCACTAATTTTGTCTAATTAAGTTTAGGATTTGATATGTAAAGACTTATTTTTCAAAAAGGAATGTTTAGGGACTAAATTATATATGACTATAAAATACAATGACAAAAAACTTTCAATTAAAAACTTATATAGTACAAGACCAAACTAAAATTTTCAAAAATTATAGGAACTAAAACGTACATTTATGAAAAAATTCATGTTGTGAGTACATAACGCATGTCAATTTTTAATAGCGTCAGTAACACCAACTGAAGGAAGGAAGGAAGCGAAGATGACGAAAACATAAAATATAAGACTGATATTATGATAAAAATAATAAATGGACCTTTTAATTGATACAAAACAAAAACTACAAGAATTTAATTAAAAACATTAACTAGTTGTGGTTTTGATATTTCTTGAAAATCAACTTTGATTGTTGATTATCCTTTTATAGTAAATGTCATTAAATATTATAAAATTCAAAAGTGAATTTTTGTTTTTATGAATAAAATTAAAAGCTTGGATTACTACTATAACTACCAAGACCATCATTAACATCGATGTTCATTCATGCAATGCAATTATTAAAATCGTTGTTATGTCCATCATCATTATATTAATATTATAAAAACACAAAAGATAAAATTGTTCTCTTTTGTTTTTATTTTGTATATAAATTAACAATATTAAAAACCTATGTAGAAATTCAAAAACAATAAAATAATTTAAAACTTTTAATTTTCTATGATCAAGCCACCGCCATATAATTAATCTTTAAATCACAATTACCATTATTATCACTACTTCCAATAGTATTATATTTATATTACTATTATCATTTATTATTATCGCCACTTTCAATATTACTATATATAACAACATTAAACCCATTTTATCACTATAACAATACAATTACAACCATTGCTAATGTTGTGGGGCGACGTCGGGCACGTGAGGTAAAATATAGGACAAATAATTAGAGTCGCCACCTAGTATTACGGTTATTAGGAAACCTCATGATTAGTCTATTCGAGTTTCGGGTAAGGGGTTTATTACGTGTAGGAAAGACCAAAAGTCACCCTACCCCGTCTTGCCTAAGGCAAGCCGCATTGCATACAACCTTAATTTGACTTCGATGAAAGTGCCCCCTTTGTCGAGTGATTCGGGACTTGATAGTCGAAGACTTTGTCCTCACTCCGTAATGAATGGTTAAAAATGATGAACACGAAGATATGTTGCTGGTGCGACTCAAACGACACGCATGAAAAATAGAACTTAAAA